GATACATGACCAAACAACAATGAAATCCCTATTCACTTAATTTAAATTGTCTAAATGATCACACTTCTTCTCGTATGTGACCAGCTTTATGACATCAAACATTCTGAATGTGTTAATGTGATGTAAAGAGACAGATAGTGTTTTACTTTATCTGTTTTTGTTATCCTCTTTGTTTTTATTTTTACAATTATGAGAGCTGCACGGGATCATGATTATTAATTAACCAACTAATTCTGACATAGTTTGATTAGAGGACATTGTGATGTAGTTTAGTTGATGAGCAGAGAGTTTAGCCTGCCGTTCTTACCTGGGAGTTTGAGCCACTTGGGGACCTTCCCTGGATCAGACCTGGGTTTGGGGGACTGACTCTGGCTGGGTGGGTCTTCATGAGATGGTCCGCTGGTGTCCATGTCCTGCTGTGGTGAAGACTCTGGCTCCTCTTGGTACTGATGGCTCTCCGATGGCGTTTGTGATGGGAGAAAACTGTGGTCATAAATAAAAGAGCATGAGTAAAGCTACAGGAAACAAAACAAGTCGATGTTTTTACTTTGTTTTGTTAATGTTATCATGGTGGCAATACAATTTGTAAACATAAAACAGTTGACCACTTAAGACATGGTAGTTTCATAGTTTCCTCCTTTCTTTATCAAACAGGCATCAAAACAACCTATACCTTCTAAATGTGAGAGGCTTAGAGCTATTTTTTTCCGTATGTTGGTTTCGGCTTTTAATATTTATTTGGTGAACATGAACAAGACAGACTTTAAATCAAAAGCGTTTAACACAACCGCACAAGACAGACCATTTTATTCCAAAAGTCTGTCAGTAAGTATTTTGTTTGGAGCATAGTTCAGAGGATTGGCAGTAGACCTCCCGATGAAAAAGACCAAACAATATAATTGACAATTTAAAACAATTAGATCTCGCTTTGATTAAAATTGTATTATTTGCACAGTCCTAGCGTTAAGATTGAGAACATGTTATTAATTTTCTGTGGGCTCAAAGGGTCACGAACATTTAGTAAAAAGCCCATAGTCACTGTTTAAAAAGATCTAATATCACTGACGATTTAAAACATTTGGATCTTGATTTGATTCAAATTAAAAATGAAATTAATTGCACAGCCTTAGCATTGAGAATAAAAGTTAGGAACTACATTGTCATTTTCCTTAAGGGAAATGATTAGACCTGTCAGGGTAACACATTTTAAAGGTTGATACATTGTTGAATATAGATGATAAATGATTATATTGAAACTATATTGAAAATGTATGCCTTGGACACAATAAGAGTAAGAGCAGATTTAAAAAAACAAAAACTATTCTACCTTTTACAACTTAAATCTCTTTGTATAAACCCTCGTAGTGAAAAGAAAATGTGCACACAACAAATATTGACCCCAAAAAACATTGTTCCAGCTTTGACAGGCCTAGAAGTGGTCATCAAAGGAAAAAAGACTGACGTCCCCTGATCTCCCCATTACCTAAGACCTTGGTGATACACAATGTTAAAGTGGAGGACAACAGGTGGGGATGACTTTTGGGAAGCGGCTCTATCTTTAGCGGGACAGGAAGAGGTCTGTGTGAGAATGTGTGGAGGAAATGAGGAGCATGGGGGCACCTGCTGTTTAGGCTGAACCTCAAAGGGATTCCAGTGATGACAGCTTTGTGACAGGAAAATGAGCTGCTGCCGCCGGTTACAAGTGCGTATACACCCAGGTCGTCATGGTGCACGTGTGCACTCACCTCGCGATTGACTCGTTTGCTTGTAAGGCCGAAACTGAAGAGTCTAGCAGCTCTGTCTTTAAGTAGGTGTCTGTAAAAAAAAAAAAAAAAAAACACGTGGAAGTTTAAAGTGATCCAGCATCAGGCCAAAGGAAAAGGTCAAGTGTAGGTCTGTCACAATAAATACTATATTGACGATTTTAGCTTTAGATGGTTGAATTATAACTAAAACTACACAAGCTAATTACGGTACTATAGTGTTGCACTTATTTAGTACAGCTCATGTTTTTTAATGATATTGTACTTTTAGAAGTCTTTTGGGGGGATAATCTGCTTTATGGTTTGGTTTCAGTATTATGGCTTATTGTCTATATTTATGTCAACAATATATCGTACTTAAAAATTTGTTATCATGACATACTTAATCAAGAGTAAGGTAATACTGAACTAAAAGTGATAGTATTAAAAATATAGTAAAGCTATAGCCCATATCTACATGTAACCAGAGCTCCCAGAGATCAAAGCTTTTTGTCAATGATAAAATCCACTTAAATATGTTATTGTATAGTAAAATCTATAATTTCTAGAAGTATGTCACATTTCTGTCATATAGCAAAAATATAATCCTATTGTTATCAGCATAAACCTGAAAAATACAGTAATTTATGGCAATATGTTTCTTTTGGGCATATTCATACAGTGTAATGTAGCTCAAGTCTTTCTTTATAGCATATTTTCTTTTATCTAATTATAACACAGCCAAAAGTACAAACCTGTCTTTACATCAGACCCAAAGTAGACTAGTGCACCCGGAAACAGGTCTGCCTTAAAAAGAAAAACATGAACAGAAGTCTAAGAAAATGTTGACCGCGCATCATATTTTCTGCAAAACATAGAAAATAGCAAACACAAAACTGTCTCCTCCTAGTACACGCGAGCCACCACATCCAAGAGGGGCCTCAGCTCCATCCTGGAGATGGTTCATAGCTGTGGGTTCTGAACGACTAACCATAGATCTTTGAAGTGGAACCACAAAATGAGCGCCAATCAAATGGTTAGTGCAAACACTTTCACCCCTGAAGCACAAACTCCTCTGAAGAGCTACTCCTAATGGTTTTAATGGACCAGTCTGAGGCAGGAAATTATCAAGCGTACAATTATGAGGCAGCGGCACAGACAGGCAGGCTGCAATCCTGTCTGTCACATTAACGTCACTGTCATTCCTGCGTGGCGGGGAAATGGGAGAGGGGAATCTGGGACGACAAAATAAACAAAGATTTGATGACATCATTTAAGATTTTAAGTGTTGTTTTTATTCTGTTATTGGGTGACTGAATTACTTCCCCTTACTTTTACCATTTGTAAATAATATATGAAGTGTTGTCATGATGCCCAAATTTAAAACTCAATTTCAGTACTGAGGAAAAGACTGATTTTGATACAACAATCATAATAAAAACTTTGCTTTTCAGACAACAGAATGTAAATTTTAAGAAGAATAATAGTACTTTCTTTAATATTGCATTGTCCTACTAGATACAGATCATTCAGGAAAGGTTTTGTCATGTTTTATTATCAGCTATCTGGATTTAGATTTTTGACAACAAAACTAATACACAGTTGAGGGGCAGTAGAGGCAGAAGATTGTGGGACTAGAGATTCAGAGACTCACTAGAGAGAAATCAGTTCAGGGTTAGGGTGTTTAATTAATGTGATAAGGACTACAACATTTTTACTTTTGTTTATACAATGTAGTTCTATAGTTACTAAGATTAGAATGAGTTTTTGATAAATTACTGGTGTTGTAAAAGAAAAAATGACTGACTTAGTCCTTGGGATCGGTTTATATCAGATATATAAGCAAATACTTAAAGCTAGTCAGTATCTGGTCAGAAAAGGCTGGGCTGGTGCATCTCGAAATTGTAACTGAAGCAAAATAAAACATGGAAAATAGTATTTGCTTTATACTTTAATTTTGATAGTGAGCTTATTCATGTCTATTTTGAAAAAATTTTATGCATTATTGACTATGAATAGGAAAATACCATCTCCACTACAACAACAGTCCTCTCTGTGTCCCTTCATTACCCGAGTTGGTCAGATGCTAAATTAGGACGGTCTGGCCTAATTGCTATTATTGCAGCGCTCTGAACAGGAAACAATGTGTTACAGTGGAACAGCAGGCATTCTAGCTATGCACTCCCCCTGACAGGCGCACCTTTGGCGGGCGGGACGGGGCAATGGGACAGGACTGAAACATGCTGTGATGGGAGGCAGAAGTGTAGGGGTGCGGGAGGGGACCGGGTATCAAAGGGCTGTGATACATTCCTTTCTTGACATGACACAAAGTGATTAAAGTGAGCATTTGAGGCAGACAGACAGTGAGCACATATGCGCCTCCAAAATGTGGCACGCGAGAACTTCTGATTAAAGATTCTGCACGCCGAGATTGATGTATGGCATGCGTAAGAGATTATGGATTGTGTTTTAGTGTGCTTTTAAGGCCCTAATGGATAGAGACGGGGGTGGGGGGTGGGGGGGGGTCACAATGGGTCACAATGGTGCAACACTTGACTTGTGACAGTTCAAGAAATAAAGTTCCATTTGAAAGTCCTGTGACGATGTGTCTTTTGTACCAAACTCTTTGAGGAATAAATCTTGTTTATGATCATCACGCCCCACATCAAACAAATGTTCTCCAATTTAGTCCATCTTATTTAAATTCAGTTTTTCTAAACAGTGGGCTCAAATACAATTCAAAAATCAAAGTAACACAGTTCATTGTGTATGTCTTAATTCTCATTATTGGAATAGCTCTGAACTCAAAGGCAACAAAGCATCAAGGCTGCCCGTTGCTGTGAGAGAGGGTGCGTGTCAAGATCAAAGTGAGGCCTGTATTAACCCCATGTGCCAGTCTGGGAAAAATCAGGCCCAGCTGGGGTCAAGGACAGTGGAGCGAGGGAACAAGTGTGAGCCGGGAATGTGCCGAGCCTTTGAAGAAGAGCAGGGGCCCAAGCATCCATTTTACTCTCACTACATTTGTGTAAAGCGGACAAGAGCTCAGAGGGGCAGGGTTTAGAGCTGTTGTTTTGTGATGAGAGAAATGTTCATGAATGTGGCTGAAATGGTCTGAGGGGTTCCTACCTGGTACAGTGTCACTGAAGGATCTTTCAAAATGGTTTTAGGTGGAGTGATAACTGAAATAAGAAGTTAAATATGAGAAAATGGTGCACCTGAAACAACAAAACATTTTTGCCACTAGACTACATGCTGCAATGAGTGCACCCCATTATAGAGGCTATAATAAACTTGTATAATAATTATCACACTCTGGCCTGATAATTTTTTTCAGTTAACAGAATATAAGAAGCATACACAATTACAACTACTGGGGTGTTAAATTTGTATATTTAATTAATTGCTTCGTTCACCATGTTTAACAAGGTATGAAAGTACTGGCACTGTTTATTCATGGTGTTTACACTGATATTTGGTAAGGAACCCTTTGAAAATACTCACACAAGTAGAAGGAGAGCTGTGGATCTTCCAGGTGACTTCTGATAAACTGCCTCAGAGCTCCCACTGGACACACAAACAAGAGTGTCAATAAGCCCATCTGTATACAGCACTTTTCATTGTTGTTTCATGTGGAAAGTCCCTCTTTGTTGTCATGTTCTGCTGCTGTTGTGATGCCTCTAGGCTGAGGTGGGTCTGAATTATAGAGCTCGTTCATATTTGGGGTCTCAGTGTCACCCTGGTGTGGCTGCCGTCATTACAGTTATGAATGTGGTGAGGGAGCCACAAGTAGCTTTAACATAGCAGTCATACCTGTGGCTAGCCATCTGAAATGAGCAGTTCGCGCACACACGCGCACACACGTGCACACACGCGCACGCACGCACACGCACGCACACGCACCTGTCTCCAAGGGCCTGAAGAAACCTTGTAGAACGTGTCTGTCTGGGAACTGGATCCTCAGGACCACCTGGAACACAGACACTGTTATGTGCGAACAACCACTACTGGCCACAATACAGCAGTGTGATTGGTTTGGCAAAGCAGCATTAGATTATCATTTATAAATAAGGAGCAGTTCACCAGTATACTTTTCTCTGGGACATGGGCAGAAGCACTAAATCCAATAGACTTCTTACTCCTTGACAAAATTGGTAGTATAATTGATTGGTAGTAGTAACAAAGTAAATAATGATTCTTTTATTTCCAAACTGTGCCAAGTGTGTGCAAAAACCACAGCATCTGGTACATGTCATCTTCATAGTTAATGAAGATAAAGTTCCTGAAAAGAGTGCGCTCACTTTTGGATATCGCTGCAATTTCTCCCTCATCTGGGCTTCTCTCAGAGCTTTAGTCATGAGCGGAGCCTCCTCCAGGAGCTTCCTGTGACAAGAGAATAAACTCAGACATATGAAACACAGGAAACATACACGAGGACAACAACAGGAAAAACAAGCTCTGACAGTGAGTGTGGTCATGAGGAGCTTCTGTATAGTGGGACACATTAGTGGGATTCTTGTCTGCATGATTGTAGTAATTCACACAGAAGCAGCACAGCCAGAGCAGACAGACATTAAACAATGTCCTTAGATTACGACCCAGGTGTCTTTTGAGGTAGGAGAGTATTTCAGATTAATCAAACAAGTGAAAAGACAAGAAAACATTATGTTTATAAAGACAGAATATGGATACAAGTACTGAATTGAAAGACCTTTTACATTAATTGTACCTTTCACTCTTGAGCTGGGCAAACCGTTTTCGAACATCATCAACTGTGACCTCAAAGAACTCATCAGGGAGGTCTGTATCATTCGAATGGTGCAACTGACAGTCCATATGATAGACAAGCGACTCCCTCTCAACCAACTACAGAGGAAAGGCCATAAGAAAGCTGTACAGAATCAGTTTGGTATTGAGGATTTCTGCCCCAATTTACCTCCAGAAATTCTTCTACTTGATCCATGTCTTCTTCATGGCAGACAGCTGGCTATCAAAACAAATGGTTCAAATTGTTTATTTTGAATAAATATCATGTGAACTTTCAAATAATTCCCAGATAGTAGCTACACCAAGAAACATATCAGGATGTTTAATTTGAATACACAATTGCAGCTCTTACTAGACAACTGACAAACAATACAAAACCAATAATAGGAAGTATTATAAATAAAGACACCATTCGGTTTAAAAAATCACATTAAAATTACAAAGATGAAACTGAACTAGTTTATACTGTGGTTAGTCTCACCTTGTTGTTTGACTTGTGAGATGACTTTGGTTTCTTGGCTTTGGGTGATTCAACCACAAAGCCCTGTCCTATCAATGATGGTCGTACTGATGTAGCCCCGCCGGGACCGCCCAATCTCTGCCCCCCTCCAGAGAATGGGATAAATGGAGCAGAAGCGGCAGATGGAACATGGGTGGAGGAGGAGCAGCAAGGTACCTCCGACGTTGGGACTAGAGGCTCTTTAGACCGCACTGTATCCTGGGAGTTCACACCTTTGTCTTGTTGTTCAGAGGCTGAACTGGTTGGACATGTCGTATTGTCAGTATTTGCTGTGAGTGGGATCGCCTTTGACCTGTCTGTCCTGGAGCTCGGCTCATCTGGAGTCACTGTTGCAGGCTGCAGTGGAGCATGGTCAAGTTGAGGGGTGGGGTGTGGTGTGTTTTCGGGGGCAACAGGTGCAGGTGCCATAGCAGTTGGCTCAACAAGCTCCTCACCTTTCTGCTCTTCGTGCATTTTGTTCCTCTTGATCAAAAACCTATAAATACAATCATTTAACGACACAGTGCTCTCAAATTATTTTCTTCTATTCATGAATTAGTTGCAAGACTGCACAAAGGTCCATAAATGTAGTATTTACACTAAATAAGACCCCCCCCCCCAAAAAAAAAATAAAAAAAATAATAATAAATAAATAAATAAACTACAATTGTGCAGTTTCAGGTTTGGGTTTGGGTACATGACCTTGCAGTCAAAATAGGTTTTTCACCAAACAAATACATTTTTGCACATTTCCAGTGTCATTCTGATGTAAGAACTCCCCTGCCTAAGTTATTAAGTTGACAATTATTTCAGTAACATTTAGTTTAGTTTGTACATTAAAAGAAGGATTTTACACTGTAGGCCATTTGTCCCGTCCTTGAGTTTAGTGAGACTAGTGAGAATTATTGAAAACTCAGGTCAGAGGTCATGCCTCAAAGATTGTTAAATATGCCATCCTTTTCTACAAAATAAGGTTAAATGCGGACCTTCTCTTTAATCGTTTAACAGACCTGACAATGGCACTTCCTCCTGTGAGACCAAGGGACTTCAGAGTGGCATTTTTAAGAGCTTCTTCTCCAGCCACCTGCACGCGCACACACACACACACACACACACACACAGAGCTATAAAAGCAAGAGTCTTTTGTCTTAAAGAAGAGCTTAATGAACACAGCGCACCTCATCCCTCATGTAAACACAGACTGGGATGACTCCTGGCTCAGACAGCTGCACCACACTGCAAAGATGGAGATAAGCCAAAGAAAATACTTAAATTATAGGTCACAGTAGAAGATTGGACTTTCTGTACAATAACAGAAGTGAATTGTTCAGAGGATACCGACTCTGTAATCATGCAATAAAAGCGTGTGCAATGTGGTGGCACGCTGTGAGCATGTGTAACCCATGTGTGCACAACCAGTGTAGACACTAATTGAGTCATAAATATTTTACTATTGTTCTCCTCAGTGAAGAATATCAAAGCGTCCCCTTTCACACCATTCCTATAGCTTTTATCTTGGAGTGGAGCAAATACTGATTTCATGGAAGTGTAACTTCCTTGGGAAAAAGAGGTGATGTCATGTTACAGAGATGGTCCCAGCACCTGGGCCTGCACAGCTGGAACTACTGAACAACAGCTGCAGATCTTAGATGTGTGTGAAAATGGTACAAAGAAGTAGAAGAAAGTGATCTGGAACAGTCTTGTATGTACTGACCAGGTTTATTTTGCAGCTCTATTGAAAACTAATATGGATGGTAGGAAAACAGACCTGATCTGGGGGAAGTGTGTGAGCAGTTCCCACAGATTCTGTCCTGAAGAGAAAGAGCCCTGCAGACGAGAACCGTCCTCCATCTGCAGAGCAATTCGCACCTGAAAAGAACAACGACCGTTTATTTCATCATTCGGTAAATATTACAGCAATTCAATGCATGAAGATTACATTTAAGAAATAAATACTTTTTAAATGACATAAAGATCAGACTACTATTAAAAAATACTATGAAACATTTCAGAGCCTTTTGTGCAGTTTCTTCCAAGAACACAAAGAGGAAACAAGCTTTATTAAGCATCAATGTCTCAGTAGGTGGCCATTTATTAGGCCTTTTGGATCCATCTGAAAGAATTCTCTGATAATAAAACTGCACATGTTGGATCACCTCTTAGAACAATAGACGTGAGCATTAGTTGTTCTAGTATTTGAGTTGATCTACAAGCTGTTTATATTGTTTATGCCAGAACAGCACACCAAAGGAGATCAAAAGGAGCACCTTGGACTCGCACACACGACTTGGCTCAGTGCACTGGTTATTTGGACAGCCTGTGCTAAGAGAGTGTATAAGGAGGGCCTGTGTGTAAAAATCTGTGAGATATCAACAGTCAACAATCCATCAAATGAACAAGAACCACACATCAAACCCAGACACACTTTAACTGCTTGGATTATAACCATGTGATGTCATAGGAAAATACAGCTCAGCCACAGTGTTTTACTCCTGCTTTAAACACACTGGATCAAAGGAATCTGCAGGAATAAGTATGACTATTGGTGCAGCTATTCCGAAATACTACAACTCATTAATAGTATGCATTTAAAGAGTCCTTGTAAATCAGAACAAAACTCTTTAGCATCAATTAAATGTAACAAACTGATGTCTAAGTGTATGACATATTTACAACACCACTGAAGTGCATGCATTTTCCAACTACATTTCATCATCTCATCTATATACTTCATAAACTCACCTGGCTGTCAGCAGCCGCCGTTTTCTTTGTACTTGGCACCATTTCAAGTTTAGCATTGTTTGGCAGGTTGGCAAATCTCCACTGCAGTGTCAAATCCAGAACCATTCTTTGAAATCTGTAGGAAATAATCCATTAGTGAACCAAGTTAAAGTCCTAAAGAATGCAGGTGAATACATAAAATGAGTTTTAGTGTTAACCGAGGCGGTGTGTAAAAAGACCAAAACAAAAATAGCTTAGAGTATACAGTTCTGACCACCTCAACATGATACTCACTTCAAACCGTGATCTTCAGAGCTAAAACCGTGCTTTTTGCAGACATCCTCCAGCACCTGAAAAGCCAAAGAAATCACAGCTTAAACACAACAAAAACTGATCAGTCATTGGCTAACAACAGTTAGCTAGACAAGCTAACTCGACTGTGAATTACATCGCGATTTAGTAGCAGAAACACCTAATAGCCAGACCGTCGTTTTCAAAACCCTTAAAGTCGATTTTAGCAATAAGTTACCTGCAGTAAAGGTGTGTTTGGGGACACTTTGACAGTCTGTCGTCTCCCATTTGGAGTCAGGACTGTCACAGCTGTGCCGCTGGCTGCCATTGTTGCCGACTACGTCACAATGTTTATCTAAAAAAAAAAAAAAACTTTATTGAGACAATGTTGACACAAAATTGTGTTTAATTTAACCTATCTTTACAGTTTGATTTTATTATGTACATATCTGTTCTGGGAAAGTGCATTTTAAAACAGTTAGAAACAGTATAAAAGAGTCAGGGTTAAGCTATCTTAACATAATTGGATAGCCTGTGTAAACTTAGTAAAGTCATTCTAATTTATCTTATTTTATGAAAACATCTTAAAATATAGCCGCAAGCGGCAATGATCGGCCCTCGCGCGTGCTTACGCCCCGCCCCTTAGACGCCGTACCTCACACTGACCCTAATAAGTCTAAGATTAGACTTTACCCTAATCATAATCCTAACTATAGCCCCAATCCTAGCCCTATAAATCTTAATTTAACCCTGCAATTTTCAAAATTTGGCAAAAAAAAAAAAAAAAAGATGGCGAACTTCCGGTTTGTAAAAGGGCGTGGTCACAATATACATTTTTGTTCTTATTGCCATGATGCATCTGGCTACCAAATTTGGTTTGGCTATGCCAACATTTGTGTGAGGACGTCCCATTGGCAAGGATACAATTTTGGCTTGTTGCCATGGCAATGCAATGTAAATGTGTGAGCATCATTGAGTTTTTTTTATCAAGACCACGTCACAAATGTGGGTATCAAATGTTGTATATCTGTGACAAATAAAACCTTATTTTTACATACAAATTTTCTAGGGGGCACTATTGCACCCTCTTTACTTACATCAGTCTTTTCAGGGTCGAGGTGTGAACTCAGGATTAAAATTTGAGTGAAATTGGCCAAACTTTGCACAAATTATCAGGCGTCGAAGTTTGATGGTGAGCCCCAAAAACTAACCCGAAATTTGCACCGTTGCCACGGCAACACCATTTGACCTTTTAAAAAGCTTTTATCAACTTTTAATGTCCCACTTGTCTAGATGATACAGAATTATTTCGTCTGGGTCAAACGCCCTTGGACGAGATCGTTCAAGTACGAGGAAGGGTCGCACGATCAATCCAATATGGCCGACTTCCTGTTGGTTGCCTAGCAATCGCGTAATACACTTTTTTGTTCCTATTCTCATGATGCATCTGTGTACCAAATTTGGTTTGGCTACACCAAAGTTTTTGTTGGGCATCCTATTGGTGAGGGCAGATGTTTAGCCTGTCACCATGGCAACACGATGGGAAATGGCATGGGGTCGTCATTGACTTTTTTGATCAAGATCATGTCATGAATCTGTGTACCAAATTTTATATGTCTACAACGAAGTAAAATTTTCCACTACCATGCAATCTCCCTAGGGGGCGCTATTGCACCCATTTGAGATTTTCTTATATAAATCTGTTCAGGGTCGGGGTGTCAATCAACGATTAAAATTTGAGTGAAATCGGCCAAAGTTTGTGCAAAAATTTTTTGATTTTACCAATGGCAAGTTTATGTCATCGCTATGGCAACGCCATAAAAAATATGACATGGGTGTCATTGACTTTTGGATCAGGTTGTCAAAATGGAATTTTATGCAAAATTTCAGAAATTTTTTGAACAACTATTTGGGAACAAATGATTTTCTCCCATATTAAATTTTGTTTCAATCTATAGGGGGCGCTAATGAGCCAAATGAATAATTTTCACATTAAGTAGCTTCAGGGCAGAGAGTTTAACAACTGTTTCAAATTTCATTGAAATCAGAGTTTGTTTGAGCAAATGGGAGCAATTTGTAAATCTCCAAAATTGTGTGCATTATTTGTTGCTTCACTGCTCAGAGATCGTAAGACGTGTGTGAAAAATTTGGATAAGTTTTGATGTTCCACGTCTTGAGATAATGTGGACCAAATTTGAGCTCGTTCGGGGGAACGCCCTCGGAGGAGTTCGTAAAAGCTTAGCAAACTTTAAGCCAATATTTCTGCCCCCTAGTGGAGCACATGGTGTTGGCGTAATAATATTTTTTCCTTGTCTTGACATGATCGACTTCTGTGTCAAATTTCATGACTGTACATACAAATTCTTTTGCCCTCATTTGTATTCCCTAATGCATTTTTGAGTCGTTTGGGGGCGCTGACGAGCCATTTTATTTATGTTTGGAAAATGGAAATAGCCAAAACGTAGGGAAGCGCGAGTTTTACCAGATGGCAAAATTTCCAGGACTTTTCGTCATTGTTTTTGAAAAATGGGTGAGTTGGTTAGGAGAAAAATAATAAGAAAGAAAGAAAGAATAATATTCTGATGGGAGAACAATGTTAGGCTTTTTTTTGGCCGACAAACTATACATTTTCGGAAACCTCAGACGCATTGCTACGTGATGGCGAGGGTCCCTGGTCACTACGGGCGAGTCACGTCGCGCCATTTCACTTTCGGGCCACTTGGAGCATCGCTTTGCGATACTAATAGGCCCTTCGCCAGCCTCTGGCGCTCGGGCGTAATTAAAATATGCTTCATTGAATATGAACACAAAAACTAGACTAATTGCAGTCTGTAACTCCTATTCTGGAGTTCAGACATGAGTCCAACAGATGGAGACGTGTGGGGTCAGGCACACATGTCTCAATGGACTGACCGCTCTGTTTCACTCCAGAGAGAGCCAGAGGTGAATACAGCTCTGGTCTGGGGGAAATTGCCACCGTCTGAATAAACAAACAAACACACAATTTCCTGTCCCAGTGGGCTAGGAACTTCAAACCTGCCTCATCAAATGCAAAAACAATTCGTGTATAGCTCGCTCTTTGAGGTTAGGTGACAATGTTTTTACTCTGTTTCATGGATCAAAACATTACACAGTCACACAACAATTCTTGCACCACCAGTATTGGTGAACTTGTATTTTATAATAAGCGAGACTATATGTCCTGGTGCAACATATTTAATAAAGGTTATAGGCTTAGCAAATTTACACAGGGTATTCTGACCACCTACAGATTTAGATAATACAATAAAACTCGAGAAATACACCTGACTGTATTGCTACAAATTTACTGTCTTGGTCTAGTTTGAGCGAGAATTTTCTATAGGCTACCATTGACTTGCATAAAATATAATCTCTGGTTTACCCAGTAAAACTTATTTTGCTGTAACATCAAAGTAGCCTGGGGACTTGTCACATGCTCTCTCCTCCACACTGACCTGTCCCACCGCCATGTTCCCCTTTCACACAGCAGCACATTCAATCAAACGCACTTCAAAGGCACTGCGGTCATGTGACGACACCACATCAAAGGGACCTGGCGTACGCACGAGCTCTCCGGAGGGGCGTGCCAGGCGCGTGAGACCGACGCCCCGCCGCGAGCATCGGTCGGAGCATCGTGATGATTGGCCCACAGGAGCGAGAAACGCGGGGCACGAGGAGGGGGCATCAAATATAAACCACTGCGGGTGCAATCAGCTACGAGTCAATCTACAACCTACTCTCAGAAAGTTCAACAAAGTGCTCAAAGGATATTTCACAATTACACTGGAGCGGAGTATCCACCAACGAGTATAGGATGTATTTTTGCGCCTTTTTCTTTTTTACTTGTCTCCAAGAGTGCCCCTCTTGTCATAGAACATTTATTGACGTCTGTTAGGAATGTTTATCTTGTAACATACTCAATATCAAGAATGCAGTGTGTGGCAGTGCGCTCGTGTGTGCTGCTGCTCCTCGTGCACCTGTGCGCACCAGGCCAAGTCAAGAGAGCGCGCGGCAGAGGAGCGCAGTCCGCGTGCAGCAGCAGGCTCCCGTAGAGCGAGTGGAGGGGGCAGAGAGTTTTCCTTTGGACTTTACAGCCGTGGAGGGCAACATGGACAACTTTATGGTTCAGATTAAGAACCTGGCGCAGTCTCTATACCCGTGCTCTGCGCAAAAACTGGATCAGGATATGAAGCTTCACTTTCTCAACAACGAGACTGTCACATGTAACGACGGCTCTCCAGCGGGGTGAGTGCCACTCTGAACCTTTCATTAATGGGGAGTAGGAGCCGTGCCCCGCTCCGCATCAGTAAACACCCACTCTCTCGCCACTCCTTCATTCTCTCCGGATGTGACCGAAATGGATCAAAGGAGCAGATCAGAGGGAAGACTTTACGCGCAACCGATTTGCGACTATAGAGCACTACTGCGCCCTGTCAAAGAGCAGTTGTTATTAATTTAGTCTTTTCAGATCTACTCATTAGGAAAAAGGGGCTGTGTCCTCTCTAGTCCTCAGCGTTAAAACCTTCATTACATTGGAAGCAGCGACCAATTCAGAGCACAAAAAGTGACAAAAGAAGGATATCGTTGCTTAAATGTTTATAATCATACCAATTTATTTATATCATCTTCTTAAAAAAAAAACTACAACATATATACATATATATATATATATATATATATATATATACACACATATATATATATATATATAACACACACACACACATATATATACATATATATATATATATATATATATATATATATATATATATATATATATATATATATATATATATATATAAACGCTTTTACCTTTATATTTAATTCGTAATGGCATTTTGACAATTTTTTTCAGGTCTAATTTTTACTTAACCTTGTATGGATATGTAGTTTGCACAGTTTAATATAAGGCTTTTTTCTTTGACTTGACAAGAAAGTCCTTCACTTTTTTTTGTTCATATTAGAGAACCTTGTACAATACAGTTTGTTGCTCAATGCTAGCTATTTTTAGGCGCCTAAAGAATCAAATTGAGTTTTTGAGGGGTTTTTTTTTTTTTTTTTTTTTTGGTTTCTTACAGATATTACCTAAAGCAGTCTAAAGGCAGCAAAAGATGGCTGGTGTTTTTAGAAGGTAATGAGCAGAGGTTACACAGTTTAAATGATTGAAATTCAATAATTTATCACGTTAACTCCTCTATATTTTGAACAGGTGGATGGTACTGCTTCAACAGACAAACGTGCAACAGCAGGTACGAGACAATGAGGAGACTGATGAGCTCCACCAAGTGGCCAACGAGCAGAACAGGTGAAAAGAGAACACGATAATCAGCTCTAATGTCAGTGCTTTACTGTCGCGTCCGGCTGCAGTCACAGGTTTTTCAGGAGCGCTTTCACAGAGAGGTGTGTGTTCCTCTTTGGCCGAGTTTTCATGAATCTTTCAAAGTCAAACTGAGTTTTTCCTTTTGGGCCACAAGGGAACCTCTTGTTTGTTTATACTTGCCTCTTTCTGTGTAGACTTTACAGCGGGGCCAGTGCAGCCGCAGCCTCTGCAGGCATCCTTAATGACCTCCTCACCACAGAGAAAACACAAACTGCACATCTGCAAACCTGAAACATGTCTTACCTCCATGAAACCTTTTCTGTTTATTTACTCAGGCACAGGGATCTTGTCTCCACAGCCTGAAGAAAATCCTCATTGGTGGAACGCCAACATGGTGTAAGTATACTTTGTTGTCAAATTTAAAACATGAATGCTTTCCTATATTAGAATAAGAAAAGTGTAAAACATGTATTACTAAGAACACAATCTAGTAGTATTAATCAAATTAAATAAAAAATTTAAAAAGAAAAATGCTTTCTATCTTCACAGATTCATTCCATATTGTTCAAGTGATGTTTGGAGTGGAGCTACACCGAAATCAGGACACAGTAAGATACAGTACTTAATATTTATACTCATAAACATCAATCTGGCCCTTAACAATAGCCTACTTTAATATGAATAGTGAGAACATTACAGTATTTTTTAATCATCTATTAACTTCTTCTAATTGAGTGTGTTTAATATTATTTGCCTCTTCTAACATTTGACTTCTTCTTTCCAGGTGACTATGCCTTCATGGGTTCACTGATCATACAAGAGGTGGTCAATGAGCTGCTCACCAAAGGGTTAAACAATGCTAAAGTTGTGCTCTTGGCAGGGAGCAGGTCAGTCCACTACACACAAAATGTTTTATCCTGTATATGGGTCATGTACTCTGCCTAAACCTGTTTATATTGATCCAGTGCTGGAGGTACCGGGGTCCTGCTCAATGTGGACCATGTGTCGGAGCAGCTGAAGGCCCAGGGCCACACAGGAGTGCAGGTCCGTGGGCTTGCTGACTCTGGATGGTTCCTGGACAATAAACAGTACAAATTCACAGACTGTTTGGACACCATCAGCTGTGCCCCTACAGAGGCCATAAAGAGAGGTGTCAGGTTAGAAGGACAGACGTCTAATAGACTTGCAAATATGTGTAACATTTAAGTCATGTTTTTTTATTTTTGTTATTACAGATATTGGGGTGCACAAGTGCCAGAAAACTGCAGACAGGCTCATGTTGGAGAAGAGTGGAACTGCTTCTTTGGATATAAAGTCTTTCCCACTCTGAGCAGTAAGTAAAAACAAAGACTGTTAATATAAATGGTCAATATACTAAAGCTTATGCATTACATGTACATGTTTGTGCCTATTGCTAAAACTGGCCCTGTCCATCCAACTAATAATGTCCCTCTCCAGGTCCAGTGTTTGTGGTGCAGTGGTTGTTTGACGAGGCCCAGCTTACAGTGGATAATGTACACCTCACAGGTCAGCCTGTCCATGAGGGGCAATGGAGGTACATCCAGACGCTGGGGCAGGAGCTGAGAGCCACACTGCGGGACGTCTCGTAAGAAGATCACACACGTACAATATTTCTTTATTTTTGTTTACAAAAATAAAGAATTAATATTTTTATGTTTCTGTGGCAGGGCCATTTTCTCTCCAGCCTGTCTCTCACATGAACTCATCACCAGAACGTAAGTAATTAGTTTGATCAGCACTTAAATAAAGCTACAATCTGGTGGGCTTATACTGCCTTTTTAATGGACACATTAAATTGCAGATGTTTGTTATATTAGAAACATAAACATTCCTTTCACATAGGAATGTTGTTGTAATGTTGAAAGGTGGGAAAATCATGGGTTTCAGCTTCCAGTTTATAGGTGGCATTTTGAGCACTCTTCACCATACAAAAAAAAGTTTGCTTTTAATTGTAGATAAATACATTTGCTGTTTTTTCTCATATGCAGAAACTGGATGGAGATTCAAGTCAAAGGCACGTCTTTACCTCGAGCTCTGCACTGTTGGGACCGTAGCCTGCAGGACAATACAAATGTGAGCCATGGGAACCACAGCACCCTAAAGCAGCGGACACCTCTGAGGGGCTGCCCTGTGCACCTAGTGGACAGCTGCCCCTGGCCCCACTGTAACCCCACCTGCCCCACCATCCGCGACCAGCTGACAGGGCAGGAGATGAGCGTCATACAGTTCCTCAAGCACATGGGTTTCGATGTGCAGAAAATGGCTCAGCAGCAAGGCATGGACCCCCGAAAGCTACTGGGTATGCTCAACAATGGCAGCTGAGACTCACAACTGTACTATGAAGATGAAGCTGAATATACACAAACAGCAAAGCACTAGGCACAACAGGACTCGCATAAATCATTGTGCTTGGGAAATATTGTCTTCAAAACTGGACAATTGTACATACTGTGCCGGTCGAGTTAAGCTTAGTACATAGATATGCTGCTCTAACTTGGAGCTGTGTGGACAAAGACAGAGGCACTGTTGTATTGTGTTATTACTATTTTTGTATAGGCAGACAAAATCTCTAAGGGAAGTATTGGTGCTCTCTACAGTCATCCCTCTATGGTGCTGCTGTTTCTACTTTTCACCAAATATGCTGCTTGTTCTTACTTGGATGAATAATAATTTAATAATAATAATATTACTTTTAAAGCTTGCTAATAAAGCTACAAAAATTTTCTCAAAGTAATAAAAAATAAACCTTTTGTATTACTGTAATAGTTAATTGGCAAGCAAGTCTATTGTTTAAAAAGTATAACATAATTTAATTTATAACACTAAAACAATACTAAAACACCTTTCAATACTCTCATACATAAACCAACAACATTCAGGCTGATCTACATTATACAGTGTAACAAAAGTATAAAAACAGGTGAAACCAAAAGTTCACAGTTGGTCTAAAAGTGCAGCTATAAAAAAACTAATAATTTTTTTGTATATATATAATATATATATATATATATATATATATATATATATATATATATATATATATATATATATATATATATATACTTGATTCAAATTAAACTCCAGTTATTAGCTCGTCCAGGTTTGTCCCAGTGTTTAAAAAGGAGCCCATTCAACAGCAAGAGTCCTGAAAGAGAAAAACAGAAGAAACATTTAACTAAACGTATTTGTGCACCACTTTTGGTTCAGTGATCTACAGTAAATATACTATAATTTCCTTCCCTTTGGATAAGATATCAATAGGTACCTGTGCATGGCAAACTAAAAATCAGATAACTATAATATCAGATAAATAATATTATATCAGATATTCCAATAATTACATCTGAATTTTGGTGTGTTTACACACACCACATAACATCACATGTGTCAGTTAATCTGTGGATTTTAAAAGTTTTTAAATTGGACAATTGGTGATCATGTAAAAGCCAGTGACCAGGACTGAACTATTTGGGGAATACAAAATCTATTAGTCACAGTCAAGGCATTATATTTGCAATTACTTTTTCGGTTTAAACCCATCTAGGACCATTAACACCCAAAACATTATGATTTAACATTTAATATTAACAGTGTTACTTGTAAGTTTTTATTATTATAGCTATAATAGACATGATAAGTGATATTATTGGTAAATTATCTTATTTACAACTAATCTCAGTGGTTCTGTTGTAACCAAGGTACACTGCTGATCTGAGGATCTAATGAAAAAAATTTCATTGATTTTTCCCACAAATCACCATTAAAAAAAACGTAAATACTTTATGTCTGACCTGACTGGTAAGTCTTCGTGCTGGAGTCCGCCTTTTTTCATGGATGTACTGAAGACGAGTGATGAGAAACTTTTTGTCCTCTCCCTCCTGATAGACAAAAAAACAAAAACACAATCAGTAACATTTAACATCTACTATAGAGGTAACTTTTATACATTTAAATTTATAAAATATGAAGAGGATATACAGTCCCTGACAAAAGTCTTGTCGCTTATCCATTTTGTAGAAACAAAAACTTATAAACTGACTTTAAATTAATCGATTGGTTTTAGAAATGTCTCATATGAAAGCTAAAACCCTCCCAAATTATGCTCAATATACTAAAATAAATTTGCTTCACTGAAGAAAGATTGATCATTTAATGAACACAGAAAGGTCAGATTTTGGCAAGACAAAAGTCTTGTCGTCTTGTCATATGATGCACCGAATCCTAGATTACAGCCTCACCTGTGATCAGTTACTGATCAATCAGTTAGTGGGTGTGTATAAAAAGAACCCCAGCACACCAGACCTTCACATCAACAACAACTTGACCTCTGACAACATGCCTAAGATCCACCCTGAGACCAAAGCGTTAATTATCAAGAGGCTGAAGACCAGATCCACTGCTGAGGTGGCTGACACCTTCAATGTGTCTCAGCGTCAAGTACAAAGAATAAGAAAAAGATCTGAAATGACTGGAGATGTTTTTGACAAGCCCAGGTCCGGCAGATCCCGCAAGACAACTGCTCGGGAGGACCGTTTGTTGATTCGAAAATCCAAGGCCAGCCCCTTTTCCACTGCAGCAGAGCTCCACCAGGCCTGGTCACCTCAAGTCCCTGTGTCAACCACAACAGTTTGTAGAATTCTGTCTCGAAATGGCCTCCATGGTCGAATCAGTGCACAGAAACCAGCACCAAACAAAAGGCAATTAAAAAAACGTGTGGCATTTGCCAAGGCCCACAGCCTGCTAAAAGGATGGACACTGGAAAAGTGGCAGAAGGTGGATTTCTCAGATGAATCCTCGGTTGAATTACATCACAGCCGCCGCAAATATTGCAGGAGACCTACTGGAGCCCACATGGATCCAAGATTCACCCAGAAAACTTAAGTTTGGTGGCTGAAAAATCATGGTCTGGGGTTACATCAGTATGGGGGTGTGCGAGACATTTGCAGGGTGGAAGGCAAAATCAACAGCCTAAAATATCAAGAAGTATTAGCTACCTCTTACATTCCCAACCATAAAAGGGGTCAAATTTTGCAACAGGATGGTGCTCCATCGCATACTTCTATCTCTACATCAAAGTTTCTCAAGGTGAAGAAGATCAAGGTGCTCTAGGACTGGCCAGCCCAGTCACCAGACATGAACATCATTGAGCATGTCTGGGGTAGAATGAAAGAGGAAGCATGGAAGGCAAAACCAAAGAATCTTGATGAACTCTGGGAGGCATGTAAGACGCTTTCTTTGCTATTCCTGATGACTTCATCAACAAATTGTATGACTCATTGTCGAACCGCATGGATGCAGTCCTTCAAGCTCATGGAAGTCATAGAAGATATTAAATGTGGATCTCACAGCACCACTACTTAATTCACTGATGTTATGCAACATATTTTTGTATTTGAAGTAAATTATTTGTTCAATTTTCTGTAGGTGACAAGACTTTTGTCTTGCCAAAATCTGACCTTTCTGTGTTCATTAAATGATCAATCTTTCTTCAGTGAAGCAAATTTATTTTAGTATATTGAGCATAATTTGCAAGGGTTTTAGCTTTCATATGAGACATTTCTAAAACCAATCGATTAATTTAAAGTCCGGTTATAAGCTTTTGTTTCTACAAAATGGATAAGCGACAAGACTTTTGTCAGGGACTGTATATATATATATATATATATATATATATATATATATATATATATCATATATATAATGTGTGTGTGTGTACATATATATATATGCTTACATTTTTTATTTGTTCTTGTAGCAGGTCAATGATTTTCCTCTGCCCATCAACCACCTGACTGTGGAAGTAGATGATTATTCTGCAGGAGAAAAAACTTTGGTTAAAATAAACTGGACTTTTATAAACAGTTAATACTGATAGTGTATTGGTTCTCACAGAAAGATGCCTGCTCCGACAAACAGGAAAAACGGGTGTTCAACCAAATAGGAGTGTGCTCTGGCCAACACTGCCAGTTTGGGGTTCTCCTTTTCCAGGTTCTGTACCCAGCTCTTTCCCGCCTGGATCATTGTGTCGAGCCCTCGAAACGGACCACATGAAGAGGATGGGGCAATACTGGAGATGAAAAAAACATAGTAAAATTAATTTGTGTTAACTGCTACACTGGTAGCTGAGTGTGATCACTGAAAGAGGAACTGAATAACAGCGTTTGAAGGTGAAATGGGTCACACTGCAATTCTGGGTTCCAGTCTGCTCTTGTGATCCAAAGAAGGAACAATAAAAACGTAACAGGTGATGCATACAAGGGTTGTTGAAAAACTTACACCCCGATACTAATCAATACTGAAACTACAATAAAAATATTGAATTAGTATCCATACTGACAGGATTACATAAATGTAACAAAGAAAGACATTTTCTGAATAGTCAGTGCTTAGAACAGTCATGATCTATAGAAGTAGCTTTAGAAACAAGAGTGTTCATTTTTTATGAAAATCAAAATCAGTACTGAGTGACGAGTTATTTCACTTGTATCAAACATGAGTTTGAAATTTTAATTTCCTGTCAATTCTAATGCACGAAAGGACCAAAGTCAGAACTGAAGATAATACAGTGGTCAGTGATGATATGCCTAATATGTCAGTAAAATTACTTTTTATACATTACTTATCCACAAATAGAAATAGCACTTTTTTCAGCTATACTGTAATAGTAACTTTTCATATAAAGTTACATAGAGCAATTAATCTAAAAACAGAGAGATACAGTCACGTCTAAATGACCAATTATATGGTCAGGATTTTTAAAATAAATAAAAAGAGGTCCACAGCCATGATGAATTCTGAATATATTGGCGAGTTCACAAACTCACAGTAAGGTAAGCTTAATTGGGTGGGCGGACCCGTCACAGAGCAGCTTTGAGGTTGGTGCGGAAGCTCAAGGCCAAGTGCCCAAATTAACCAAAGCAAACATGGTGATGCTGACAGACATACTTCAGCCTAGTTGTCACAGTGCTTTATGTATTTGTGGATAGGGAAGATGTCTGTGTTTTTCTCTCAACTGGATGTAACAAAAGTTAGATTTTTCATCTTATTCCGCTGTTTAACGCTTCAACCATTCAGATCAGATCAGTCAATCATCTGTCAGTAAAATAATGTGGTTTTGAGCAGACTTCAGATTTTGGAAGAAATTAGATTATTGTTTATGTTGAATGGCACAGATAATAGTATTGTATTGTTACCTGTATTGTTGTTCGTGAAATCAATACTAAAACACTTTTTTTTCTTTTTGAAAACACTTAAATTACACTGAATTGGAAATCAAGATTACCTCCACATGGTATATATGACACAGACAGATACTCCCACAAAAGATGGGATACAGAGGAGCGTGATGAACACTGTGGTCATCTGGCTCACTCTGTACGGCTTCCTGGGGGCCTGACAGTTCATCATCACACTCCCCTGAGAGGAAAGAGGAAAAACATGAGGTTACACACATATTCTTCATTTTTTTTACTTATAGAAATATAAAGAAATATATTAGTTCTTTTTGTATGTAGATTTGTTAAATACTATACTTGGTTTGGAAACTTAAACATAGAAAAAATAATAATTTTCACTTTTTTAATGAAGAAGCAAACTGACATGCCCTCTTCTGAAATTCAAATATGTATCTTAATTTTTGTAAAAATAAATAAATAAATTTAACCACTAGCATTTATCTGATGCAAGCTAAGTATCAAAAATGGTGTGTGTATATTCCACTTTTGACTCCCATTGCCTCCAAAATTCTGTTGACAAAGCATTTTAGAGGGTCTATTGCTACTTTCATGTCATCAACATTCACACTGGGTGGGATGCTAACTGTGGGTATTGCTCTGTCTGAAGCTCTATTACTCAAATCGGACTTTAATCTGAGTTTCGTTTGAACATAATCTGACCATAAAAACTGATTTAGTTGGTTAGTTTAGTGCTGCTGAACAAAAAGGTAGTCTCACTGTTGTAATCTCATATAGTTTGTTACTAGCTAGATTAGCCAGCAGTTTATCAGTTAGTCACCCACATTTTGAAAAATCAAAACATCTGAATGCTTTTTTGATCACAAGCTCCAGAAAATTTTTCTTCTTAAGTTTTAAAGAGCATCTTATCAATAGTATAGAGCTGACATCAGAACCAAAAGTGTAATTTAACATATAGATCATCATACCTTCTTTATGTAAAAAAGCAACAGGAGTTTAAGCACTTGCACTGCTGGGAGTATTGGGGTGAAGAGGACACCTAACCTAAATACAAACAATAAAGTAATTAAAGAAAACAACCTCTGCATCAATAAAAGGTGATATAAATGTATCTCACCAAGCCAACGTCTGTCCATAAATAAGGTCCAAGACATTTTTGGGGATATCAAACACAGGCTTCCTCCGGCGCTTTAGCATCTTCTCTGAAAACAGTCTGTGCAGAAAAAAAGTTTAACAGTTTAACAATATTTATTTTAACTGCCCCACATCTGTATTAAATGTTATTAGCCAAAAAATGTTGTGGCATCATCTGAAACCAAGTAATACAATGCTAATATTGATACTTTGCAGCTGGATTCATCAATATTCCCCGAGGTTGTGAAGCTAACTGAAAGCACTACTCTGTTAGAAACTCTGTTACTCAAGTTCGCCCGAAAATCTGTTGTTTAAATTTGTTTTGTATTTTTTCTTGAGTTTATCTAAAATCTTCTTTGGTAGTTATTGCTAATGTGTAAATCACTATCACTAATGAACATTCCATCACAGAAATACATAGAAATAAACCCCCGGCATAATGTCACTGCAAAGTATCAATACAGTAAGCATTTAAGAATCTGTTAATACAAACCTCCAAAGAAACTCTCCAAACAAAGTGTCCAATAGTGTGAAAATGAAGTCTATAATCAGGAAGCGATACAGTTCTTGTCCAACAAATGTTTCCCAGCACTAAAATTAAAACTTAAAATTTAAATTTATTTGAATACACACATTTACCTGTAATTAGCATTTGTGTGTCACTTTTAATTCACCGTTAAGCCAATACTCCCAGGGTCTTTTGCAACACGGAACAACCAGTGGTAACAAAGGACTCCCAGCACACTCATTTTGAGCATCAAATTTCTGAAAGTCATCATAAAATCTTTAATAAAATACATTAGTTAATGCAATGACCCAAGTTTAGAGTCCCCAGAACCTAAGTAGGTACCTGCTAATGGCCACATAAGTGCGGACAGGAGGCGAGTTGTACTCCTCCATCCAGGCAGCAGCGTTGAACAAACCAGGAGCTAACAGGTTTATCACAGACACCAGCACAGGGAGGGCCAGCATACTCGCCTCGGTCACAATAGGGTCCTTTTTGATAATACGGGACAGGTGCTCCAAATTCTGTAGATAAAGAAAACTACATTAATTTAAAAGGTAAGCAGATGGGACATGTGTTGTGGCTAACTCCTGTAATTAAAAACACCTTCATATAAGAACTAGCATTACAATCTGAGATGTAATCAGGGGTGTGTAAAGTAGCCAAAAGTTGTAAGAGTACTGTTATATCAAAATAATATGTCTCAAGGAGTACAAGTGGTGGTCCAAGTAAACAAAAGCTAAAAGGGATTCAGGAAAACTACTACATAAGTAAGAGTAACTGTAACATCTGATTAATAATTTGAATTTAAAGTAACTTGAAAGACAAAACACTCAATAATGCACAAAATCCTGTATTTTCAAAGGATGTATCATAAAAATGAGACAAACTAAATCATATCTGAAGGGTGGTGCAAGAAATACAAATGTTCAAATAATGTAAAATTATCAACATAAATTACTTTGTCACGTGTAGACTTACATTGGGAAGAGTGGCCAGATTTTGTAAGAGTACTCTGACAGTAAAATAGATTACTCTAGAAGCAAAACTATTATGTGGCTGGTATGTATGTATGTATGTAGCCAAGAATAGATTCAATAAAGGTGATTGTAATGTAGTAATGTCACCTCCAGTCTCACCTTGTGCATGTAATCAGAGAAGTAGTAAATGCCAAAAGCACATCCAGTGGTGGTGGCGATGCAGATGGCCCATGCTATACCATGAACTGTGACTACCCATAGCCTCTGACACACAGTGTTTTCAACCTGACTGTGGTTCACCTCTGCCAACAGCTCCTGCACATGAAAACAAACCAGGGACAAGGTGAGAACTAACAGGAAGGTAACAACATATACATTACATCTACATACATTATAAAACAACATTACAATGTAATAATATGGAATGAATAAAATTTGTGGAATAAAATTGGGAATGGGGAATTCTTGGGAATTATTTTGAACCACTGTTGACTGAATTCCCAAGGACATTTTATCCCCAATTTTTGCTAGAGTTGGAGTTGGAGCTGGTGTGTCAATGGTGTAGTCCTATTTTGAGACCTGATTTAGATCTAGTGGTTCAAAGTCAAATCTCTTCTTTGGTGGTACTTCATTGGTGTGAAAAGCTTGAGAGGCACTGATATAGATAATACGAAGACTTGTGATAGTATACTCAGCTCACTATCACTGTAAGAGTTGCATATAACATGACATCATTTTTACCCATTGTAATAAGAGACCAGAGGAAGTGGCTGAACAGACCTTTATTTGTGTGTGAATATTCTCGGACATGAGTTTCACAGAAGTCTTTTTGATGACTTTGAAGTCCCAGGAGCAGAACACCTTCATAGCCAAAACACTGTGCGATTTGTCAATTCTGAAGCTTTTACCAAAAGATTTCGACATACTGGAGAAGAAATGAGACAAAGCCAAGTATTTACCATACATTATTATTTGAACATACAAATGTTTTTGCTTAAAAATAAAAGTACCTGTAAACAAGGATGATACAGGTGATGAAAAATGAGGCTAAAATGGTAAAGAAATAGGCCAGTGGCATGTTGTACGAGAGTGTAGATCGACACTCCCCTTTGGTTTCATCACCTCTGCAACCCAATGTGTAGTTACAGTAGTACCCAAAGTACATCACAGTGTCTGAGAAGTATCCCTACAAGACACAATGTACACAATTAAAAGGTGCTCTGTGTAACTTTCTGCTGGAGGGTGTGCCATATGATTGTAACCATGGAGATAACATTGTTTTGCCTGGAATGTTCCACAGTATGGCTTTAAACTGATCTATAATGCATTTAGTCAATAAAACGTATTATTATTCAGTATATATTCTCACTGAGAGTGGAGTCAACTTTCTGACATTTAACTTAATTTAATATCGAAGCAAGCTAAGCAATAACATCTGCATAGAGTAAGTTATATACTCATGGTTTGCTCTATGAGGATGGATGTATTATTTATCCCAAATCTTACCCCCCCTGAGAGTAGTTCCAGTCCCTTGAAGGGGAGGTTCTGTGGGTGGGGGTCAGGTGGCTGCACCACTTGGGGGATCACCAAAAAGGCCAAAGTGACAAGGAAGAGGAAGAGGTTGAAGAAAAGCAGTGTCTGGAGGAAGAGGAAGTAAGACAACACCCCCGTCCCAAAGCGTCCGCTGACCCTCTTTAGTGCCACCTGCCAGAGCTGCAGGGAGTGCAGGAATGACAGCCAGCTGTACCAGCCCCGCCTCGCCACCTGAAAACAACAAAGGTTTAAACACAACACAGGTTTAAATAAAACAATAAACATTTGACCAAGTTTAGAATGAGGTGAGGATGGTGCTGGTGCATAAATTAAAAGTCATAAATGCTTGAGTAACAGAGCAACACCAAACACACACCTGCCAAAAGAGGAACTGGTTCAGACTGTAATTAAATACAAATGTATAGTTAATGTAGGAGTCGCTTATCTACAGAAGATCTAAAACAGCATACTAACAACACTTTTTGTGTATTTGAAGTGTGAAAAACCACAGTTAACAGGAAGCCCAGAGCCCAGAAACAAGACATTGACTCACAATTATAATGTAATACTTTAGGCCACTGCAGCAGGGGATCTGACGACCTGACATGGTGCGATGCTCCTTCTGTAACGCCAACCGCCTGAAAATCATATGTGAACATATGAACATATGTCAAACCCCAAAAGAGCAGCAGTGCAAACAGACGAAGGGTGGAGAGTCTGACCTGAGTTCTGATTTTTCAGTGAAGCTGAGAGGCATCTCCCGCAACATCCTCACCCTGTCAGTCACCGACAGGTTCTGGAGGTTGTTCACCAAACGGTCCCTCTTACTGACTCCTAACCAAAATATATGACATGACACCAAAATTTACATATACGATACGCAAAACACAGGATTTACAAGATTATGGGTGTGTTCACATTGGTCCTGTTAGAGTCCAGTTTAGTCCACATGTACACTAGGTTTAGTCCTGGTCTAGTCCTGGTCTAGCTCTGGTCTAGCTCTGGTCTAGCCCTTTTCTAGCCCAGTGAGTTAGTCCCACTTTTGATGTGGTGTGGGTGCAAGTATGAAAGGATTTCATTCACTTATTATCAAAGTTAAAAACTAGTTTTCGCTGGAAGATTTTTACAAATCACAACTGTCAACTATTTTTTACACAATTCTTGTATTGCTATATATGGTATGATCAAATAAATTTAACGAACGACTAGTAAAATCATAGTGGCGTGTGAAATGTGAAATGTAGCTCCACTCATATGTCATATGTCATGTCACTCTCAAGCCTTGTTCAAAGATATCACACATGTTCATAATGTAATTGGAGCTACCCTCTGTCCCATCTGTGTCTGTGCTGTCCGCCTCGATGCCGTAGCCTCGGATACTGGGACGGGACGATCGGGAGAAGTCTTTGATGGAGGGTCTGCTCTGTCGCCGCCTGCGCAGCTGCATGGTGCGGTTGTAATACTGAGAGATGATGGCTCCTCTGTTTCGGCCTGAGCAAAGCACAAGCTAATTATTAGACAATACTAGAGTTATCAAGAAACTGCTATTTCTACAATTTCCTATACAAAATAATTGCAGTTTCCACCCATTTACATTATCACTGATGAAGGCCAGACATTCTAAAACTTTCAGAGAAGGTCCAATGTTGTCTAATTTATTGGATTTTTTTCTATTCAGTACTGACACTTGTTCAAATGTGTCTAGTTTTGATACTAGTTTTAGTATTGATTAGTATTTAGACCAAACTCTGTCGCCAGCATAAGAAAATAAAACAATTGTGCTTTATTCTTCTATTATTAAATACATTGTAAAGGCTTTTTTCTACATTACTCATTCATTAATTTTAACCTCAGCTGCCTTAAATTGCCCTTAGGTAGGTAGGTTTGATTACCAATGATAAAAACATTTATAAGATATTCTTCAGTTATACGTGAGAGACAGAGAGAGACAGAGAGAGGAAGGGAGAGGAGTAAAAGATAAGATAACGTCTCAAACTTTGATCAAAGTGTTGCGACTAAGTGTTCCGCCAGACAGGAAGAAGGCACATTCAGTTATGCTTATAAAGTTTTGTGGTAGAGTTCATTTTGTTTTTTGCTGAACAGTATCCTGTGTACCACTGTAAACACTTTGTTTACATTGGGACTTAACTATAACTTAGAAAATAGAAGTTAAAAACAAAACAAATTAACAGTAACAAATCTCCAACCTGTAGTTTAAAAGGTGACAGTATCTCTCCACCTCATTCCAAGTTGCCCCTAACCCTAACCCCTAGACATTATACACATTACACTTAATTATTCCAGTTTGATTCATCACATGCCTATTGACATTTTAAAACTTTGTGTAAATCTAATGGGCAATGGTTTATGTTTTAAGGAGTAAGATACCCTATTTATGTTGGAAACAATTTAACTCCTTGGGCTTAAGCGCTCATACTGACCAATGGTTCGACTGGGCATGGAGGACAGGACTTTGAGAGTGTCAGAGGACCATCGCTCCCCCATTAAAGTGTCCGTCTGCCCCTCTTCTGCCTCCTCTGGACTCTTTTGTCTCCTCCTGTAGAGGTCATTACTGGGACTGGACAAGTACGCCACATCATCTAAAAAAAGAAACAAAAAAAAGGCCCTTTTCTCAGTAACTTTACAATCCCAAGTCACAATGTAATCAAACCCAAATCTAACAATTACCTAAATTGTATCATAAAACAAATTGTATTATTTTTAGGGGTGTCAAATTATCGCGTTAATTGCGATTAATTAATTACAGTCATATTTAGCGCGTTATGTTTTTTAATCGCGTTAATCTAATTTTTAATCTCTAACTTTAGTGTTTCTGTATGCGAGTTGCTTTATTATAAAACCTGTTTTTATGTGTTGTTGGGACAACACACACACACAAAAAACACATTTATACATTTTTTTTATTTCAGTAATTCCACACAAAACGCGCGCAGTAAGAGCGATGTAAACGTCAGGTTCACGTTGGCGGCGTCAGTCACACAATGGACGAGGTCGAAGAGCCAGTAGAACAGAAGCAGCAGTGCACAGGTAAAAACGCATTCGTGTCTTGGAAATTATTCTCCCGACGTGAAATATAAAAGAAAATAACATATAAAATCGCCTACAACTTAAATGTCACTGGTGAAAACAACCTGCATAGACTCATGATGTCTGCACTACTGTCCTATAGTGACCTGCCACATGAGGGGACACGCACACAAACACACACAAACACACACAAACGCACACAAACGCACACAAACGCACACAAACACACACAAACACACCTTCATCATCGTCATTAACCTGAGAACGCGCGGACCACGTTTCTTTCCGTAGACACTGCGCGGACACCGACGTGCTCCCGTGCGCCTCGTGTGGACCGTGTTTTCTCGCGTACGCTGCGTAAACTGCGCTTCCTCCTGTGCGCCTCTAAACCAGAACTAACACCAAGACTAAAACCAGGACTAATAAACTCCAGGATTAACCAGGTCTAAACCAGGACTAAACCAGGACTAAACCAGAACTAAAACCAGAACTAAAACCAGGACTAAACCAGAACTAAAACCAGGTCTAAACCAGGACTAAACCAGGACTAAACCAGAACTAACACCAGGACTAACACCAGGACTAACACCAGGACTAACCCATTCCAGGACTAAACTAGGACTAAAGTAGGACTAACGCAGGTCTAAACCAGGACTAAAACAAGGACTAAAACCAGTGATCTCATATATAAAGCATTTCTCTATCAATAATATTTTTAATATGGTTAAGGAAAGACTGGACTTTTTATTGTCTTTAAGTAGACAAAAGTTATTATGTTCAGATTTCCTCGTCTTTGCTACTTTACAACAAACAGTTTCTTATTCATGGAGACTTGGGCTCAACAGCCAATTTGGAGAGATTTGTTAAACAATAAATGACTTTATAAAGTCACTTTTTTTAAAATCTATATTAGTCTTTTGATCTGCCACAATAATGTAATAATGAATTTAAATGAAAATACCTCAAATTGAAGGCTTTTCTCAGCTATTTTTAGGTGAGATTAAAATGAGATTAATTAGATTAATTAATTACAGATCACAATTAATTAATCTCTCAATTTTTTTAATCACATGACAGCACTAATTATTTTTATCTGTGATCAGAGGAGTCGATGGGGGTCTGTTGTCCCCGATCTTACAGGGATCAGAATTATACCCTTTTCCTATTAATTGATATTAGAGAGGGCCCATGTGATGCTTATTGACTGACTTCCAGTTTACAACAACATTACAACATATAAACCATAAACACTATAGAGCCACATCAGCCCATTTGAGATTATAATGTGTATAATGTGTAGCTTTGACACATTTGTCTTACAGAAGTGAAACTTAAAACCACATGGCTAATTTGTATAAACTGCGCTGATGCATCAGCTTCTGTCCGACTAAAGGACGCGACTATATGTGTTCTTTCTGTGACATAGGGATGTCACTGCAACTTTTGAACTTTTGGATGTGTAACTTGAATGCACTGAAAGTGAATGACTGCAGCTCCACTGCATGTGCTCAGCGTGTGTATGGAGCAGCTCGTCCCGCGCGCGTAGATTTCAGAAAACAGGATCCATCCTATTTTTTGACGCTCTGTGTGAGCGTACAGAGAGCATCTATTGTTGTATTTGTGTGTTTACCATCAGCACATCATACTCCCGGGGCAGTTCTGTATCGTGTGAAAGAGCCCAGGTCCAGAACAACTGTTAATTAGTGCTTTGAAATTAACTTTTGACATCCCCGTGTTTGCCGTGGTCAGCCTGTACAGAATGTAAATACAAGTGTGTTGAGCTGTTAGTTTCACTGTGGACCTGATACAAGTAGCTAAACGCATCCAGTCAAGTCTGATCGGCTTTCCCATTTTCAAACACAGAGCCAGAGCCGCCCGTGTACGTCCCGTTGCAGCTGCCTGTCTAGCTGCCTTCCGCATTAACGTGCAGCTGTGGTTTTGCGACGTTACGCACGACAATGCTGACGAGTGCTCTTGTCACTCGACTCATCAGGTGAAAACAAATTCCGACATTTAATTGACCCCCAACTGTGACGTACGTCGTTCATCTCACATAATTTGAACAAATTCACGTTCAAGTTCTTGATTTACAAGAACGCGTTCTTTTGAACTCGTTCATGCACAACACTGGCCCCCAAAGTCCTGTCGATGGACCTGTCTATGACAATCTGCTGCAGTCAAATACACAATGAGATATAAGGCAGTATTATGAAATTAATTTGTGTATTGTCTGTCTTGAACTGTGTGAAGTGTCTTTAAGTATGACAAAAAGTGATATACAAGTGTTAAGTATTATTATTATTAAGTGGAAAAATACATTCTTTTCTTTTTTTTTATTGTGCCAAATCAAAATGTAAACTGCATAGTTAGCCAAAATCATAAAACAATCAGCTACTATCAAAAGGATCACATTCCAATTTATGTAATTTCTTTCATTATTGATACATGCTCAAAAAAATTTAGTTTTGATGCTAGTTTTAGTATAATTTATTAATAAATAAAAATTCTCCCCAAAGGTTTATTTGAATTTTCAAATGAACATAACTACTGTTTAAATACCCAACACCACCATTTTTTATATAGTGTCTTTCAATCAAAATGGGAGGTCCTGTATTGGCATATTTGCAGAGACCATTAAATACCTCTCCCCTCCTCCTCCAGCTCCCTCTGCAGCTGCTGTAGCTCATAGGCCTCCGAGAATTCAGCGTTTTGACTCTGCTCCTCGATCAGCTGATGGAACGAGTCGTGAACCCCCGCTTCATCCACTGGACTCCTGAAACAGAAGGGAAAGGTTTTAATATGGATACAAACATGGTACAAAAATGGTACAACCATTTTCATATTTCAAAAGACTTAGCAATAGGAATTTCATTATGTTAGCAGTGAAGCAGATCTATTATGTCTACATATCTCTATCATTGTATATCGTTTGCTATGACATAGGAATAGAATAGGAACAGAATAGAATGCCAAAGTTCACAACTATATATAGGATTGTCAAAGCTTGATCCCATCAGATCTCAGATGCTAAGCAGGGACAGGCCTGGGTAGTACCTGGATGGGAGACCACTGGGAATTCCAGGTGCCACAGTGGGACGCCAGTGGCAAAAACTGTTGTTGTGTCCTTAGGCAAGACACTTCACCCGCATTGCCTAGTATGAAAGTGGTGTGTGTATGAGTGATGGTGGTGGACAGAGGGGCAGATTGTGGACAGATTGGCAGCCTCGCTTCCGTCAGTCTGCTGCAGGGCAACTGTGGCTACAGTAGTAGCTTACCACTACCGAGTGTTGAGTGAATGAATAATGAACTGTAAAGCACTTTGGGTATCTTGAAAGGTGCTATATAAATGCAATGGTTAATTAATTAACTTACTGTAGTAATTTTATGACTGATTTTAATGAATGTATCTTAAGCTGTTTCAAAATGAATTTCTATTTCAGTTGGGGTGGACGATAAAGTTTTTCTTATCTTATGATTTATATTATATTGTGACCCACACCAGAAAATATACATAGCACCCCTTTAATAAACAGGACTGATCTTAATATAATAGTGCACTTTCAGGAGGGAAGCCCATTAAAAAAACAAGAGGAGATAATGAACTCTTGACTCAGCTGTACTCCTGATGTGGGCTGCATTCAAACACCTGCTACAATGGCCATCTCTATACAGTTAACACAATGTCTACAAACTGGTACATACATTACTTAGTATTACCATTGTACATACTATTAGATTTTGTAGGTAGATTTATCTCGTTGAATTTTAGAAAACTTGGTTACTCAAATTATCTTTGGTTTAACATAGACTAAAATGGGATGTATTCTTATTACAGATGAGACATGACATTCATTTGTAATATTTATGATTTATGATTGTTTGAGATCAATTTATTTCGTTCAGAGATACAGCGACGGACATTAAAACAAATAAAAGAAGGTTTTAGAAGTGACAGAGTAGTCATTTAGCACTAAAAGTCTAAGTCACCTGGTAGATTTTATATGACCAGTAAAACTCAGATAATCCAATAATTAGATCTGATTTTGATGGTGTGCTAACATTTCATTTTTGCCCTTTTTTGTACTATAATTTTTACTGTCAAAACCACACAGAAAGACCAGAAAGAAATCAGACAGCTCAAATAAGATATAACTGTTTATGTGACATTGCAAAATCAGATAACTCTAGAAATCAGATAACAATCATATTTTGATGTGCATGTAAACACAGCCAGTGTTTTATGAAGAAATACAGTTAAGAATAAAGCAATATATTTCTGTCTATATTCACTAACTATGATAAAAATAAAATTTAGAGGTTTCTGAAGATAAGCCTACATTACTCCATTACTGCTACACTGACTACATTTCTACTCCAGTGTAATAATCAGACAAACTTACCCTAATCCATCTTCCAACAAACCGTAGTCATGGTCAAAGTTCACGTTTCGAGCCATTTTTCTTGAGCTGATTTCTATTTGGTCACAGCCCCGGAGCGCGGGATCAGGGCCACACCCATTCGGCTGCCCGCTCCACTCCCAGCATGCTGTTTGTTTGTGCCTGTACCTGTAACGGAGGGGGGAGGGGGGAGGGGAGGGGCATGAGCATAAGGTATGAATTCCGATAGACTGTGTTACAACTTGTCCTTAAGGGAAAGACAGAAACCAAACAGCACTACATGAAACCAAAGCGTTAAAAATGTATATCAGTTCCAATACTGATTTCGATACTATAGTTTCAAGTATCTACTGATACCTGAAGCACCTGATACTAGTGCAATGATTAAAAATTATATTTAATTCCTTTCAACAAGAATGAAATAAGACAAAACAGATCCAAATGTGTTATGTAGCTGTTATTTAACTCTCAAGTAATGACAGAAAAACTCTGTACGAGTTCAAACATTCTGAGACTTTCAAGGCTGACCGCAACCAGTAAATAGTTTTATTAGGTCAATTTAAATATCCAACCAGGATATCAGCTGAGCCGATATTTAGAACCCAATATCTGACCAGGCAAATTTTTCAGTACATCCAATACCAGAATTAAAGAATTGCATAGCCCCATAGTGTGCCCTTCCAATCCCTGACATAAATAGGTTCAAAACCAGCTTTATTTCCAAGAGCATGTGAAGTGGAGTTGCCACATCGTTATAACATGGCTAAATGCAATGTTGGCTTTCCAGTAATACATTTCACATAGAAGCAATGTTTCAAAAGAACGTCTTCAAATTATCACACATACATTTCAAAAAGGTCTATGCTACAATACAATCCCATTCAGTTTATTTTTGTATCGCCCAACATCAACATCAAGAGCAATCACCTCAGACTGACCAACTTTTCAGACAGAAAAAAAGCTTTGTATGTCTTTCTGATTAAATGTTTAAAGGAAAAAAAGTGTTTCAAATAACTAGTTTCAACACATATTAAGGCAACAGTGCTTTTCTCTATGTGGTTGGTTTTGTTTTCCACAGTGCAGCACTTCTGTTACAGTAGGCTCTAAAGCACAAGTGGAGAGTTCCCTGCAGTCTTGTGAAAATCATGACGACAATGTGTGATGGGCACCGCTGTCACACTCAAATGAGTCACCAGTATGTAAATTCACAAATGACATAGAATACAGCATTGTTTCCAACCACAAAGAGACTTATTCAATAGTATTCCCTTTACCCTTCTGCGCTCAGATCTGCTTTCTATTGCACTGTCCATATAAAGCAACATCAAAGCATGAAAACTGGCTTGTAATTAGTTACAACACACACAACATAAAAGTAAATAAAATCCAGACATCTATTACCGGCCCTTTCTACATAATCAAAAACAAATACCATTCATCTCATAAAAGTACACATTATTTAGGCTTGATCAGTATCTCAAAACATCAAATAAACAAGCTGTATTTTTTTCTTTTATAAAATTAATTCATGCATTAACTCTACGTTACTACGTTACATCGACAGTAACTAAATGACAACACTCCATAACCAAATCCATTTTCATATGTTACCTAAGATTTCAACAGTGACTTCCTGTTTACATTATGCAAATACACACCCAATGGATGACAGGATTAATGATGGGAAAAATAAATAATTCATATGTTTGAAAACCTCTTTGTATGGATCATACAGTACATAGCAAGAAAATGGCAATAATGTGATTGCGATTGACTTTAGAAACCCACGCAGTTTCAGAAAAAAAAGAAAATGTCTGCCATTATACACAAGTGAAAAGATATAATGTATTTTGCTTTCAATTCCATGTTTAGTTCAAATGTATGACTTCTAATCCAGCTGTCTTATACACAGTATAGGTGTATTATAGGTTGTATACAATAAAAACTACATGACACAAACTTCTAAATGGACTATGTTAAAAGGGCTACACATGGTTTTCGCTGATTTTTCACAGTTTATTTCGGTTGATTGGTCGGAGGGTTTCCTATAGGATGTATAGGATGTAATATTAAACAGCTTTGCATATTTCTGCGGTTACATGCACAAATGCCTTAGTTTCATGGCTCAGGGTGGAGGTCCTATCTCCGTTACAACATCGACTTAAATTGCAGTTAGATCAGTGGAGTGCAAAACTTTTTTCTGCAACACATTTTTCTCATTTTCAAGACTTTCTAGATCATATTACATACTGAAAGTTTCCATAATGCATTTTCCTCCTCAATAGACAAACTTCTTCTTTTCCCAGCCTCACAAAGGTCACTCTCTGTCAAATATTATTAGACTCTATTGTGTTTTTAACGTGGTAACTTTCCCATTGTAGACTTATGAGGTTCAGGAACTAAGCCAGGAAACAGAGAGTGGGATCAATAGGGCACATAGAATGAGACAATGGAAATAGATTTGAAAATAAAGTTGCTGATGCAGTTTGAAATAGGATTACATGGTTGTTGTAGTAGAAGGAAGCTAAAGAGTGTGTATCAAAAGCATTAAAGTTATACGGTCAAAACTGCACTGTAAACATACTGATATAATAGGACAAAACTGAGGATTTGGGAGTGTCCATTCTCAACTTTCAACCAGGCAACTGGCTTCCACAGCGCTGGGGGGGGGGGACAAGAAGAATAGGACCATTCCACAGTGCCAAAGACTTTGTATGAGAGAAATTCTGTGTTGTGTTATCAAGAAAGTTTAGTAATGACACAAGATGAACTATGAACCTTCCATGTAAGTTGTTTTGGGGTGCTGGACAAAGTTGTTGCACCCTAAAACTAGTTCCAAGTAAAATTAGAGGTTGCAATGGACAGTTCAAAACTAGGGCACAGGCAAAAATAATGTTCCCACAACCTATAGCACCTGTAATTACACAATACGTGAAACCCCATTTCAGCGAAATTGGGACACTGAAACTTTTGCAGTAATTTAGTCCTGTACGAACAAAAATCAGTATATAGCCTCGCCTAAGATCAAAACAGTAGTCTTTACTGATAGTGTAAGTTTGGCTGCCAAGCACAAACAACACCAAGGAAGCTACCTGCTATATACATATGCATAAAAAAAAACTTCAGAAAACAAAAAATCACACGATACACAGAAAATCACACAAAACGTACGCAGAGACGATGGGGTAAAGCCGATCGAGTAAAAATATACACTTACCTCGAAGCTAAAACCCGACAAACCCGTTCACAGTGCAACTCGGTACTTTCAGTCAGTCAACACGCTCACACGAAGTACTGCGGGACGTACCAATTCAGCAAAAGGGAGAATACCAATCAGCTACAAGTCTACACATTTTCGTAGAAACTTTCCGTGGAAAGATACAGAAAAAATAATAACGTCTAGTTTATCCTAAATATTACAAAACTTTCAAGAGATTAAATTTTATACTGATAGTTACACATGTTCCCCACCTCAAAGTGCATCCATTTGGTTTCGCCCTATTGTATATCCTAATTATTTAATTTCCCTTTTAATACTTAGATAATTATTTGATAGTTTTTTGTATTTATACTTAATTTAATTCCCTTGTTCTACCATAGTATTGTGGAGAAACCTTGAAAAAAAGAAAAAAAAACAAAACATTTTAGGTAATTTAGGTAAAATGTACTTTTTTAAATGTATTTAGCCTATATTACATTTTCTAGCCTACTTTATAAGATAAGACAAGAGAGCCTTATTTGTTCCATAATATAGAAAAAGAAAGTACAGGAACAACAGAATCCATATAAAATTATTTTCACTGCCATCTTTACATCAAGGCTATTGGTTTGTATTTAATCATATTCAATTTATTATTATTTAACTTATGTTTTATACACTGACTAACCTTAGTTGGTGCAAGGTTGATTTGTTGACATTTGTTATACATTTTAAGCCTGCATAGTATGCTCTGCTTGCCATGATAGAGCTGTGTGCAAAAGTACTTTGTGAAAGCAGGGGCATATATAGATGGAGTATTTTGTAATGGACTGATTCTCTGTTAGCTAGCTATTGTTTCTTGGCAAACGCCTTATTGGTACTAATTCGAAACCTCAAATGTCTTTGTGGTGCAACAGTGGGTGGTAGAAGCTTCTATGATACATGCCTAAGCGTCACTCCACTATAGTGGTATTGTTCAAAGCTGTTCATAGACTTGAGAGACTGAAATCATATCATTAATTGGATGAAGCATTGTTAAGTCAGCCAATTTTACATTTTTGAAAAAAAGTAGCCAGTTGTTCTGCCTTTTTCATTACATTGCTTTGTATTGTAGTGTATTGCTTATTTTAACACACTATTGCCTGTTTTTGGTGGCTTCCTGTCATGTGATTTCCTGTCTTCTGTCAAACTAGCAGAAGTTCACCAGTGCAACATAAACTTAACTTATAAGAAACTACGACCTCTGAACAGTGAGAACTTAATGTTAGGTGATCATTTGAAGAGGTGATTTCTTCAGATATTGTGACTTTTCGATGCTTCTTCAGTGAAATCTCAAAAATGGATGAACCTAACAGTGTCAGCTTCATGCGGCTCCTCTCAGGTAAAGTGCAGTCTTTTTGTTTTACTGTGACTTTCTATTTGCATGATCAAGAAATAATCACAAAATAAAATCTAATATTAGAAATAATTTATATACAGTTGACAAAATTTCTATGCAAAACTCAAATTTTTCACAGATTCATATTTATTCTTATATATATTCAAATGTTGTCTCTCAGTAGCTAATCTTTATATCTTTTGAAACCTAAATGTTGTCCTCTCCTCAGATGAGAGCACCCAGTCCACCCTCTCCTCAGACTCTGAGTTATATCAAACCCAGATTTTGGACCTGCTTCCAAGTGCGCAGGTGGGATGTCCCAACCACAACAACCGCATTTACTTGAACAGTGGACCAGAGATGACCTCACAGCCAATCAGGAACATGCTGCTATGTCTCCAGGCCAAGAGAGATGTCCGGTGAGTAGAGATGAGACAATAAACAATAATATTGTTTATCGTGTTAAAAAAGAGTATAACTATTATATCAGCAGAATGTGCAGAAAAATGCTTAACCATTTAAAGTTCTCTGCTAGATCATTGTTGTTTTCAGTTATAACAAAGTACATTACTATAACAGTTGTCTGACAAACCATTCTGTCTGAAAGCTTTGTTTGGTAGTGCATCTTCAATGTAAAAAACAAAATAAAAAACTGTCCAATATCAATGTGCTCAATGCGATATAAATTCCAACACAGCAAACCCTTCAGTTAGATTTCATAATACTATCAGAGATTTATTTTTCACTATACTTTTCTGAAAGGGAAGTCACTAACAGCTGGCCTAAGGGTGACAAACACATATATAAAGAACCAAGGGAATAAAGTTTTGCTGATCGACATAACACAGATTAATTAATGAACTCATTAAATTTTCAGTGAGACAGGGAAAATTAAATATATTATACATTATAAATTTATAACAAATATTTGTGTTTTGTATGTTGTCACGTACAGGGACATGAGGAAGATGCAAAAGACCAGGATTGGTTTTTGGGAGTCCTGGAGGCGAAGTCAGAGCATAAACAGGAGGAGGGCCTGGGAGCAGATAGGAGAGGCTCTCAGAGGACTGGTGCCATGGCAACGCACATTACACACCATTGAAAGTATACAAAGATAAAAGTTACATGTAAATAGTGTATGCCGAACTTTAACTTATATTTTTGTAGGTCGCTTTGGTGTGGGCGTTAAAGCTTATTTTGTGTTCCTGAGATATCTGGTGTACCTGAACCTGCTGCTCTGCGCTCTGGTTGGGGGCCTCATCCTGGGACCAACTGCATTTTATGGGAATGGCAACAACAGTGGTCCGTCACCTGTACAAATGATACAATACACCAAACATTTACTTTTTGCAAATTTTTTACACTTTATGTATATTTTCAGATTTTTTCTTAAAGTTTGAGACCAATGATTCAGTGTTGGATTTCTTCTTGGGAACAGTAAGTGACTGGATGTCTTTATGGATATGAATCTGAACAGTAAATCTCTGTCTTTATGTATTAGGGATACTTGGACCGATCCCCTGTGTTCTATGGATTCTACTCTCGTGGGTTACTGGATTTTCCTTGTTTGAACACACCTCTGTTGTACCTCTACGCAGTTGTCTCCATTTACTTAATCAGTCTCATCCTGGTTGTGAGGAGGTCAGTCTCTGACTATCAAACGCTTCATTATTTAAAATGTGCTCCACCCTTCCCTTCCCTTGCTTATTGGTAGTTGTCTTTTCATCTAGGTTTAATTTTGCAACTTTTTTTTTAATTATCCTTTTGTTATAATAATTCCTGCATTTGTTGACAAGTGCTTTGTTTAAAGGTACACTATGTAACTTTTCTGCATGGTACGCCACTTGCTTGTCTCCATGGAGATACCATTGCTTTGCTTGGTATGTTCTACAGTACGACATTGAACATCTATCTTCATGGAGACAAGAAGGTGACACCAATAGAGTAAGTGACAGGTCAGATTTGTGGAGAGGCAATTCCACTCACAGTAAGAATTAAAAAATGCCATAGTGTGGAAAATTTTCCACAACATCTTTTCTGGTGAGCGGGACCCTCACCAGAAGTTACCTTTAAGATCACTTGAAGTATGTCTTTTAATTTTAAGCTCATTTTCCAGGACGGTTGTGGGCTACAAGTACACATCAATCCTGGGGAAACGCTTAAACACATTTGTGTCGTATAAAATCTTCTGTGGATGGGACCACACCATCCAGGACCCTGCTGCTGCTGTTCTTAAGCACAGTTTTATCAAGAATGACCTGAAGGTGAGGGTTAAACCTGTTTGAGCTTTTGATGACAGTAAATCCTTGTCTCTTTTCTTTCCTTGTGGAAAGAAAAAGTGGTATTTGGTATGTTATCTTTTGTTACTCATTCAGTCACGTAAAATTATTTAATGGTAGCTTTTCTAAAATATGAACATCACAGTAACAATAAGCATGATAAGCATGGTCCAAGGAAAGAAAATGACAGATGTGAGGTGGGAATACTGTTCTTCGTGATTCAATCCATTATTAACCTTTGCTGATGGAGGGTCCACCCCCTGCTTGTCTCCATGAAGGTGCTATTATCTTGCCCAAAACATTCCACACTAGGACATTAAACGTAGCTATTACTATGGAGACAAGCAGATGATGCTATCAATCCAAGTTACGGGTCAAATCTGTGGAGAGGCAACTCAACTCACAGTAGGAATGCATGTTTTTAAAGGTATTTTTTGAAAAATGAAAACACTGGTAGCACCCATAACTACAGTAAACCAAAAAAGTTAGATGATGCACTTTTAATTGCTAAAAGATTAAGGAGTCAATCACTTTTTTTTTGCTCTCAGCTGTTCCTTGATGAGCAGAGGTTTACTTTACGTGAGGCCCAGAGGACACATGGACAGTGGATCCGGCTTTACCTGCTACGCATCTTCCTCAACCTCATAGTACTCTTTCTTCTCAGTGGAGCATTCTTCCTCATTTACTTTGCAACACAAATGTCCCAATCTGAAAATCATAAGGTAACAAATATATATTTATTTATGTATTTCTTTGTTTGTTTATTTATTTATTTTACCTACAGAGAAGGCACTGGTTGGTCAGCCTGATTCTCCAGTTCTTACCTCCCATTACCATAACTACTGTCAACATGTTCCTTCCTCATATTTTCCGTAAGATCTCGGGCTTTGAAGACAACTCTTTCACTGCGCAGGTCAATGCCACACTTGTACGGTAAGACACAATACACATGACCTCCTCAGGCATAATTCAATCAATCAAATTTTCTAATCATTATACTGACTGTTGTTTTTGCAGGAGTATCATTCTGAAGCTTGGCTCTTTGGGCATGTATTTATTTTTCACCTTTACAGCCAATTATGATCAGGTAAGTATGTTTTCCAAAACTGAATTGGTTTCTAGTTTTGTTACATTTGAATCATACATTGTATTACTCTGTACCCTAGTGAACTCTGGATACCTCTGATGTTAAATCTGTTTTGGTTATGCTCACATGAATTGATGCAGTTGACTGTTCAGATCTAATTTAAACTGCAGAGTTTTCAGTACAGCATTAATACACCTTGTGGTTTACTATTCTCTTGGGTTCATACTATTCAGAGACATTTCTTAATGTTATAGATACTTGAATAGTCAATTATATTCTGGGGATGAATTGTGAAAGTGAATAGAAAAAAATATAATATAATATTCTGCTATTGTTTCAGTGTTGGGAGAACAATAATGGTAGAGAGATGTACAAACTCTGCATCTTCAACTTCCTCACCGCATTCTTGTTTGCCTTCTTCATAAATTATCCCAGGAAGTGAGTTTTCCTCCGTTCCATACCTTTATTAGTCATCATTTAAATGTCACTTTAAAGTTGCACATTGAAACTTTTGGTGGGGTGGTCCATCATCTGTTTGTCTCTATATATGATTGCTCTGCCCAGAATATTTTATAATATGGCATTAAACTATCTATCTCCATGGAGAGTAATAGGTGTTGGCACCAGGCCAAATTACAGGTCAGATCTCTATAGAGGCATACCCATTCCAAGTAAGAATCATGTTTTTGAGCTCAAAAACACTTGAACCTGAATAAAGGAAAGGTAAGTAGAATGCCAAACTTAAACATTTCACTGAAAGCAGCAATGACATATGACAAGCAGATGGCTGACCCATGAAATGTTGCATACTGCACCTTTAAGTGTAAATTATGTCTTGATCTTACAAAGGTTACTGCAGGAAAAGTTCCCATCTTCCCTTATGGCCCGTTTGTCTGGAAAACAGCAGTTCCTGATTCCCTTCTATGTTCTGGATCTAGTCTATGCCCAAACAGTGTCCTGGGTTGGGGTGTACTACTGCCCCCTATTGCCTCTCATCGGACTAGTCACACTCATAGCTACTTTCTACATCAAGAAGGTTAGTGCCAGCATTCACCTTACCTCTAACCTGCTGCTGGTTGATTTCTATTTTGGTGAACTTATTCACTTTGATCAGCTGTATTGTAACCATGGGCTTCAGAATGATGGGAAATAAGGATAGCTGTGATTTTAAAAAGAAAATATAATAAAATGCTTTGAATGGTGAAAAGTCCTCAAAATATCAGGAAGCTGAAACCCATGAATAGACTACTATTTTAACTTTCTTATGATGGTATGTTTGGGTTGGAGCATATAATACTGTAATGTAATATTAAAGCCTTTATACACTCCATCAGAAAAAAAGATGTTTTGGTGTAATGTTATAATGTAATGTAAAACTAGTTAGCCTGTAAACCAGGGGTGTCAAACATATGGCCCGGGGGCTGGATCCGGCCCTCCAAGACCTTTAATCTGGCCCTCAGCTGATTTTCTACTAAAATATTTTAATTATATTTTCTATTAAAATATTGGTAATTTTCTGCAGTGCTTAGCATAGCAGCATCTCCAGCGTCTCTGTGCGTGGATGCCTCCCACCAGAGCAGCACAAATGAAGACTTGCCTCTTTCCAAATGCTCTTAAAGGACAATTGTTTTGACTGTTGACCGTGACACCCTCATCAGAAAAATGTCAAAAAGAAGAGAAAAGTGGATGCCGAGTGCAGGATTTAAAAAAAAAAAAAAAAAGGTCTTATTCCTATTTGCATACAAGTTAATGTTAAAACATTGTGTTGAAATCGCTTTTTTTTTTTTTAGTTTCGGGTTGTTCATAATATTATAATATTTTGTAAAAGAGTTCATCAATTAAAGATTTGCGTTTCTCTGCACAAATATTTGAACTTATTGCTATTTTTGGGGGTATATATTCTAATATTTTTTTGTTCCAGCCCCTTTGGGATCAAAGTAGGTTGGATACGGCCTCCGGACCAAAATGAGTTTCACACCCCTGCTATAAACCTACCTAATTTGTCATATAGGCTCACATGTAATTGTTGTTATAAGCTGATGTTGATTTCCCAACTGGTGCCATCTTTGTTCCAGTTCACGTTGCTGCGGTGCTGTATAGCAGAGCAGAGGATGTTTCGGGGCTCCAGCTCCTCTGTTCTGTTTCACTTCATGTTGCTGCTCGGCCTGGCTATAGCAGGGGTCACCCTGTCCTCCAACTTCCTCAGGTAAAAGACAGCTTTAAGATTGGTAGATAGCTTTTAAGTGCATTTTCAGTGTATATAGGGTTACTATAATAATTACATGGAGTCTACTTCCAGATGATTTAACTGTAAAAGATAAAAGATTTTAATTATTACTGTAATGCTTAGCATCAAATATGTTTTGAACCAAGTTATGAATGTACTGGATTTAATATGGTCTAGGGATATATGTATTGGAAATATTTTATGACTTGAAAGGTATTTATTAAGTTTGTACTAATGAATGTTTATACACAGCAAATTCGAGTGTTAATTAAATTCGTATAGTGTTAATTTTAACACTTTTACCATGTCATATGGGGTCTACAATAAAATGAGTTAAAACTACACTTTCCAAACTGTAGAAGGCTCAACACTAGTAAAGTAATGTAACCATACTCGTCATAGATGAATCTGACACTGATTAAGATTTGTTTTTTTACACTAGTGTATAGTGAAAAACTAGTAACTCTATATTGCTATGTTTCACTTTATGAAGTAGAAATAGTGTAGAGTGTTCTTCATGTTATACTACTCAATAGTAACTGTTTCTTCACTAAATACAATGTAAATGCTGTGGTCATTCTAGTTCATAATCCCTTTTATGTAAAATAATGAAAACCACCACAAAATTCCATTTCAGCTTAACTTGTATTAAAACAATGCACATCATACAATCAACACAATTGAATTTAAGTTAGTCATATGACACAATACTATTTTTGCAAAATCCAACTGACAACAGGAATTCTCTGTGACCTCAACAGTTGGTCACAATGATTGTCATTTTTTTTTTTTTTTAAGTTGATTTTTCAGTGCAATCAGTGGTTGGATGAATCAAGATCTTGTTTTGAATGGAATTCAGGCAAGCTCATCTCCAAATCTCCAAATGAGAGGAGCATGTCTGACTGTTTGAAAACAAGATCTTCTCTCCATTATGTATACATAACAATGTTTACTATAGAGCCAGTCCTGCTAATTATGAAACATTAACACTGCAGAAACTTTTTACCTCAAGAGTCAGTCTTTCACTCTTGGAGTTTCTTTTGACACATCCAACGTCATTTTATGTCAACACCGTGACTCAACAACTACTTACTTTACTCTGCAGCATTGTTATAATTGAAATAACTCTTTACTATGTTGAAACATACCTGGATTTTCTTCACTTTACTCACAACAAGACTAACACCGTGAATTTAACACTTTTGAATTTGCTGTGTATGTTGTCAGTGAAGGTACTGAATTTTACTATTTACATTAGTTTACTTTGAAATGTATATTTTTCCATTTTGTATTAATGAACTTATATATGACTGAAGTGTATTTTTGTGTAACTGTCTCCTATTCGGACGCCAGGAAGAATAGCGTCAGCTTGTCTGCACTAATGAGGATCCTATCAGTAAACAATAAACTGTCTGCCATGTACACTCTTGATTATTGGGGCAATGTGTTGATATAGTTTTGGTGATTTATATCACTGAGGTTTTTTTGGTGACTTATTTTGATGGTGAGGTTACTAGGACAGATTGGCATACTTTCATTTTTTCAAACAGCTCCAGGGAAGTCGTGACCACAAAAGTTGCTTACCAACATCATTTTTGTGGGACTGGAGAGTTAATGAATAAGGGTCTACTGTAATGCTTTGAGATTATTGTCAGCAATAAAATCAAGTAATTAGCTATATGAGTTACATTTTTGTCTAAATTAATTCTTCTATCTCCCTGCAGGCCCTCACTAGTGCCCTTCTGTGGTCCATTTGGGAACGGTACCAGTGCGATAAATGTTATAAAGACATGTATGGAGACCCTCCCCAGTCCAGTCCAGACCACTGTGTACTTTCTCTCTTCTGAGACTTTTGCTGTGCCCCTGCTCATGGGACAAGTGTGAGTTTTGAATTGTACAATGTTTGCAATAAATATGCTGTCTTTAGGTTGCAATAGAAATGATAATTATTTTGTCTTTTTTTTCTTGTAGTATATTACTAACCTTTTATGTCTCATGGCGGAGAGCCAACAGTAAGACCATTGAGAGACTGAAACACATGCTGGTGATGGTAAGTTGTTCCTGATATACAAAAACTAGTGTCACAATGAGGAGATGATCTGTCTGTACATATTAGTGATACCTATTACATACTATAGTATTTAAACAGTGAATGTGTATTTCCTCTCACAGACCACTTCAGATAAGCATTTCCTGGTGAAAGAACATGCCACGATTCTGAGGCGCAAAAAGAGACACCCAGACTCTGCTCAGAGGAATAAAAGCAGGAGCCCATCCCAGGGGCCAGGTTCACTCCCTCCCACACAGGACAACCCAAAAGAAATATTATGAGTAGAGTTGATGTTTTTGCTTATATGAACACTTGCAATAAGCTGAATTTTGAAGTCAAATAAAGCATCAAAATTGCATCTGTAAATTGTAAATACATGTGTAAAAGTAGAATCCATTGTTAAAAAAATAAAAATAAAAACTGTGATTAATATCCAGGGTTCCCACTCTTTTTTGCTGGCAAAATTTGAAAACTTTTCCATGACTTTTTTATGACCTAAGGTGAATTTTCCATGACTTCACCACACCCTACATGTGTAGAATTTATCAGACTTTTAGGACTAAATATGAAACATTAACCCTTTCTACTTGCCTTATGATTCGGTATTATAGTTTTTTAGCATTCAAAATACTGTCAGTGCATTTATTGTTGACTCTTTTAAACAAAAGGTGCATACATTTGGAAATAATCATAATAGTCTAATTTTAACTTAACAGAACACTGTAGTGGCATGAAAGAGATACCATGACTTTCCAAAATGTTCATTGAATTTATAAAATTCCATGTCTTGCCAGGCCTGGAAAATTATATTTTCAATTTCCATGACTTTCCAGCATTTCCATGACCGTGGGAACCCTGAATATCATATGAGCACTTAGTCTTTCAGGATAATAAAGCATATATGCATTTTTATGTTAGAGAAAGGTGTAAACTAAAATGAATATAAGCAGCACAGCCAAAAGGGTGGTGAAGCTTAAACATTACGATTAAGTTTGCAAATGTCAGTTATCAGTTAAGGCTGGGCTGATGTAAACAAGGTTTTTATCTCAGAACAACACGTGCATGTCATGCCTTCCCTCACATGGACGAACTTCACACAGCCATGACTCAGACAAACCTAAGCACTTATGTTGAATCCAACGGCTACACTTCTGCTGCCAATTTGGGGTGAGTTTATTTTTAACTTTTATTTAAAATTTTCAACAGGGATGAAATTTTATTTTTTTAATTTATATTTATATATATATATATATATATATATATATATATATATATATATATTTTTTTTTTTCAGCTTTGGCCAACCTGATCATCATGATAAGTAAGTCAGAAATTAAACTGTTCAATTAAAAGTTTGATTATTTTGATTTAAAAAATTGAAACCATTATGTATGAAAGTGGTGTGTGTGTGTGTGTGTGTGTGTGTGCGTGTGTGTGTGTGTGTGTGTGTGTGTGTGTGTGATGGTGGTGGTTGGAGGGGCAGATGGTGCAGATTGGCAGCCTCGCTTCCGTCAGTCTGCCCCAGGACAGCTGTGGCTACAGTAGTAGCTTACCACCACTGAGTATGAAATGAATGAATAATAAACTGTATAGCGCGTTGCGTATCTTGAAAGGCCCTATATAAATGTTATTATTAATTAACTAATTAACTAAAACTAAAGATTTCAATTCCAGCCACAAGGGGTCAGAAAAGACAATATCAGGCCCTGTTATTTATTGATTGTTTTCCACTAAAGGTGTTCATAATGCCTCAATGAATATAGAGCCTTTACCACTGAACTAGCTCCAGATATACAACTGTCTGTATATTTATGCATTTACAGATGGGTCAGAGTCTCTCCACCCTGTCTTGAGTGGTCCTACTTTGGCATACCTCAGGACCAGAGCGGTTTTCAGGTGTGTGGTCTCAGGTGCTCCTCCTCCGGTCACATATGAACTGCTAAAAGACCAAAGCACCCCCATCAGCAGTGGGACAGATCTCCAGGGAGATCAGCCTGCATTATTCTTCCTGAAGGTTGACCTGGCGTCAGGAGGGTTGTACCACTGCAAGACAAAGGCTGACAACATAGAAGGAGTCAGTAACAGCATCAGACTAACTGTAGTCAGTAAGTGATCATTCTACAAAAAAGATTTAATGTATGCATTATTTCATAATAAAACAACATGTAAATAATTAATACAAAACAGAGAGGACCAGTGGGAATCTACAGTTGTATATCCTGGTAATCTGACAAAATGCAGTGATTTATTGTTAAACATGTGTCATGTAGGTATTGCCATTGGCTTATCGCAACAGAGAAATTATTTCGAATACTCAGTTACAGCTGTATAAAATATATACCTTCCAGGGAAGATCAATAACATCTCTATGGAGACATGCCGAAAAGTTACATCATGCACCTTTTATAGCACAGCAATTGAGTGACCCAAAAAGTGGACACAAGATCAACTGTAAAAAGAAAAGGTGAATTTATTTTACAAGTTGTGGTGGCCAAAATAATCAAAATTCAGTCAATCGGCTTGATTAGTAGGAGGTGAGGTGATTCTCAGGTCCCAGGAGACTCCACCCACAAATAGGGGAAAGGAGGGAGGGTAGCACAAGCCATGACAGCATCTATATAATGATTACAAACAAAAATGAACAAAGTTTTACTATTTTCTCTTCTAGCACAAACACATACTCACACATGTGCTGACTGTAAAGCATTAAGACACGGAATTATTAATACAGGGAGTATGACTCAGTCCCAAATCTAATTATAGTTTAATTCCCTGCTCCCCATCTTTTCCTCAGTTCCTCCATTAGAAACCAGAATAACTTCAGAGCCCTTCCCACCCATGGCCTATGAGGGGTCCCGTCTGGTCCTCTGCTGTAATGTGTCCCGTGGCTCTCACCTGTCGTACTCCTGGTTCTTCAACAGGAGGGAGGTGCTGCCCTCCTCCTCACCTCTGCTCCGCTCTCAGGGGAACAGTTTGGTGATAGACAGGGTCCAGCCTGAACATGAGGGGCCTTACTACTGTATGGCCTGGTCCACTGTGCAGGACATCAAGAGGTTCTCCAGCAGCAGAGAGGTACATCTCACTGTCAAAGGTAACATCTTAAATTGAACAAAATATGTAATTTTTGTTCTGGATTGTTAATTGCTCTGGCAATTTTTTTTTTTTTTTTTTTTTTTTTTTTTTTACTGTTCATTCTGATACCCGGGGATATGCCCCATTTGTCCCATGACTGATCTTTGTTAGCTGACAAAAGAACCAACCCAATTGAGCAAAGTTATTAAAACATGTTGGTAAAGATAATCACTGAAAGAGCTATTTAAATATATAAGTAAGTAAAAAGTTTCCACATATTTAAGATGTAATAAATACAATTCTTCCCATTGTCCCTCCAGTCTATGTGACCAAGCCTCAGCTCTCACTGGCCGTCTCCAAAGAGGCTGGTGGTGGTTTGGTGGGGAACATTAGCTGCAGTGTGTCCCGGGGCAGTCCTCCCATAAACTTTACTCTTCTCCTGGACGACAGAGCAGAGGGCACAGTCACCGGGTCTGGATCACTGTCCGTCTGGTTTTGTGTCTCCATGGTCCCTGGGCTGGAGATGGGCAGAGCGC